ATTACAACTCCTCAGATCCATAAGGGACACATTCAGGGGGCAGACTCAGTGAGCACCAAAGCCCCATTGAAGCAAGTCTTGCCCCAAAAGGGTGTCTCCAGCACAGAAGTTCTCCCACTGCAGACACAGCTGATTCTCACAGCCAATTGGCCTGGAGGTCAATTCCTCCCAGTGATACCTACAACAACCAAGGCATAGCTACAACAAGACTGTGCACAAAGCCCACGAGGGGGTGCACCAAGAGTGTCCACCTCAGGTAATTGGGGAGGCTGAGCCACTGGGCCCTATAGGACACCTAGCACAGAAAGCCACTCTATCAACACAGGGAAGCAGCCAAAATGCGGAGACAAAGAAACAGGTCACAAATGACAGAAATGGAGGAAAGCAAACTACAGGATATAGAGTTCAAAACCACACTTTTAAGGTTTTTCAAGAATTTTCTAGAAGCCGCCAATAAATTGAGTGAGACCCTCAAGAAATCTAGTGAGACCCTCGAGGTTATGAAAAAGGACCAACTAGAAATTAAGCACACACTGACTGAAATAAAGAATATTATACAGACTCCCAACAGCAGACTAGAGGATCACAAGAATCAAGTCAAAGATTTGAAACACGAAGAAGCAAAAAACAGAATCCAAAAATATGATGATGGTGTAAGGAGCCTCTGGGACAGCTTTGAGCATACCAACATCCAAATTGTGGGGGTGCCAGAAGAAGAGAGAGAGCAAGATATTGAAAACCTATTTGAAGAAATAATGACAGAAAACTTCCCCTACCTGGTGAAAGAAAGAGACTTACAAGTCCAGGAAGCTCAGAGAACCCCAAACAAAAGGAATCCAAAGAGGACCACACCAAGACACATCATAATTAAAATGCCAAGAGCAAAAGACAAAGAGAGAATCTTAAAAGCAGCAAGAGAAAAAAAGTCAGTTACCTATAAGGGAGTACCCATACGACTGTCAGCTGATGTCTCAACAGAAACTATGCAGACCAGAAGGGAGTGGCAAGAAATATTCAAAGTGATGAATAGCAAGAACCTACAACCAAGATTACTTTACCCAGCAAAGCTATCATTCAGAATTGAAGGTCAGATAAAGAGCTTCACAGATAAGAAAAAGCTAAAGGAGTTCACCACCACCAAACCAGTATTATATGAAATGCTGAAAGGTATCCTTAAGAAGAGGAAGAAGAAAAAGGTAAAGATACAAATTATGAACAACAAATACACATCTATCAACCAGTGAATCTAAAAATCAAATGAATAAATAATCTGATGAACAGAATAAACTGGTGAAAGTAATAGAATCAGGGGCATAGAAAGGGAATGAACTGACTATTCTAAGCGGGGAAAGGGGTGGGGGGTGCGGGAAGAGACTGGACAAAAATCGTGCACCTATGGATGAGGATAGTGGGGGGGGGGGGAGTAAGGGCAGAGGGTGGGGTTCGAACCGGATGGAGGGGAGCTATGGGGGGGGGGATAGAGGAACAACTGTATAATCTGAACAATAAAGATTTTTTTAAAAAGGGAAAAATCGGAGAAACTAAGATGGCGGCATAGATAAACACCGGGAAATTGCTGCTTCCCACAACAATCGATAAATGCATCAAAAACACAAGGTGGACACCATCCAGAGCTACAGGAGGGCTCGCTGAGTGTAAATTCTACAACTAGAAGGAAAGAAAAGCACACTGCGAGCGGGAGGAGCTGCGGAGGTGGAGTGCAGAGGTACGGGGGCTCGCGCGCGGAAAGGGTCTGGCACCTGAGGACGCGGCTGTCTTTTTGAATCTGGAAGGAGACACAAGCTCCCGACGGCTCTGAAATCCGGTTCCGGGAAGTCTCTGGGGACCCAGGACTCATACGGGGAGATACTGGACTGTCTGGCAGCGGGCGAGCTTGAGACCGGCTTTCCCTCAGAGGTGCTTGCAGCCATTGCCGGGACACTGGGACTCGCGAATCCTTAGGGCAGGGCTGAGGCTCCACCATAGCTGCTTTCTCCGCCCTTTGATTTCTCGAGACCCCACCCCGCCCAGGCTGCGGCACAGGCTTTTGCATATGAATGCCCCGGCCATTTGCAACCTGTAATTACCTAACCGCAGCCGGGCCAGATAGACCCAGAGCTTCCAAGAGAAGGCCCAAGGCCCCACAGTGGCTTGCATTGCTACACAGCTGAGCATCATCAGGGCACTTCCAAACTCCAAAAAAAAGGAAGGGGAATCTGCAGTTCTCTTCGTAGTTCCTGCTGGGTAGCCTCAGGCAGAGGCTAAATTAGCACCTCCTTAGATCCAAGAGCCAGTGTACCCAGTGGTCAGAGGGGAACCATCCAGATCACAACTCCTCATATCCATAAGGGACACACTCAGGGTGCAGTCTCAGTGAGCACCAAAGCCCCACTGAAGCAAGTCTTGCCCCAGAAGTGTGTCTCCAGCACAGAAGTTCTCCCACTGCAGACACAGCTGATTCTCGCTGCCAATTGCCCTGGAGGTCAATTCCTCCCAATGATCCTACAACAACCAAGGCATAGCTACAACAAGACTGTGCACAAAGCCCACGAGGGGGTGCACCAAGAGTGTCCACCTCAGGTAACTGGGGAGGCTGAGCCACTGGGCCCTACAGGACACCTAGCACACAAAGCCACTCTATCAACACAGGGAAGCAGCCAAAATGAGGAGACAAAGAAACAGGTCACAAATGGCAGAAATGGAGGAAAGCAAACAACTGGATATAGAGTTCAAGGCCACGTTTATAAGGTTTTTCAAGAATTTTATGGAAACCACCGATAAATTTAATGAGTCCCTCAATAAGTATAGTGAGACCATGGAGGACATGAAAAAGGACCAACTAGAAATTAAGCATACACTGACTGAAATAAAGAATAATTTACAGAGATCCAACAGCAGACAAGAGGATCCCAAAAATCAAGTCAAAGATTTGAAATACAAAGAAACAAAAAGTACCCAACTGAAAAAGAAAAAAGAAAAGAGATTCCAAAAATATGAAGATAGTGTAAGGAGCCTCTGGGACAACTTCAAGCGTACCAACATCAGAATTATAGGGGTACCAGAAGAAGAGAGAGGGCAAGATATTGAAAACCTATTTGAAGAAATAATGACAGAAAACTTCCCCCACCTGGTGAAAGAAATAGACTTCCAAGTCCAGGAAGCGCAGAGAACCCCAAACAAAAAGAATCCAAAGAGGACCACACCAAGACACATCATAATTAAAATGCCAAGAGCAAAAGACAAAGAGAGAATTTTAAAAGCAGCAAGAGAAAGACAGTCAGTTACCTACAAGGGAGTACCCATACGACTGTCAGCTGATGTCTCAACAGAAACCATGCAGACCAGAAGGGAGTGGCAAGAAATATTCAAAGTGATGAATAGCATGAACCTGCAACCAAGATTACTTTATCCAGCAAAGCTATCATTCAGAATAGAAGGTCAGAGAAAGAGCTTCATGGATAAGAAAAAGCTAAAGGAGTTCATCACCACCAAACCAGCATTATATGAAATGCTGAAAGGTATTCTTTAAGAAGAGGAAGAAGAAAAAGGAACTCTTACCATTTGCCACAGCATGGGTGGAACTGGAAAGCGGATAAATACCACATGATCTCACTCATTTGTGGAATATAATGAACAACATAAACTGATGAACAAGGACTGATCCAGAGACGGAGAGGCATTGATTGGACTGTCGGGCTTTGGAGGGAGGGGAGAGGAGGGTGGGGGTAAGGGGGAAAGATCAACCAAAGGACTTACATGCAGGCATATAGGCCTAACCAATGGACACGGACAACGGGGGGGGGGGGGGGGCATGAGCGGGGGGGGGGGGTAGAGGGTAACGTGGGGACAAGGACACATATGTAATATCTTAATCAATAAAAATATATTTTTTAAAAAAAGGGAAAAATCGAAAAAAATAATACATTTTAAAATTTACATAAAATGAACAATTACCCAGAAAAGTATAATTCACTCAGATTCAAGAAAAAAATAAGCCCTGATCGGTTTGGCTCAGTGGATAGAGCATCGTCCTGGGGACTGAAGGGTCCCGGGTTCGATTCCAGTCAAGGGCATGTACCTTGGTTGCGGGCACATCCCCAGTAGGGGGTGTACAGGAGGCAGCTAATTGATGTTTCTCTCTCATCGATGTTTCTGGCTCTCTATCCCTCTCCCTTCCTCTCTGTAAAAAATCAATAAAATATACATTAAAAAAAAAAAAAGAAAACCCTGAATATTCCCCCCAAAAAAGATATGTTTAACCCCTAACTCCCAGTGCCTCAGAGTATGACCTTATTTGGAAAATTGGTCTTTGAGGATGTAATTACTTAAGATGAGGTCATATAGGAGTAGGGTGGGCCCCTACTCCAATATGACTGGTGTCCTCACAAGAAAACAGCCACGTGAAGACACAGAGACACGGGGAGAAGGCCACATGAAGGTGGAGGCAGAGATTTGAGCGATGCAGTACAAGTCAAGAAAAAAAGGGATCTAGCCATCACCAGAAGCCTGGAGTGCGGCATGGAACAAATTCTTCCTCAGAGCCGGCAGGAGGAACCAACCCTGCTGACACCTTGATTTCAGGCTTCTGATCTCCACAGCTGTGAGAGAATACATTTCTGTAGATTCAAACTGCCCAGATTATAGTTCTTTGTTATGGCAGCCCTAGGAAACAAACAACCAATAACTATTGCAGTGATTGAAATGATAGTTTAAAATCTGCATGTGCGGCTGAACTTCCCCCCACCCCCCACCCCCCCACACACACACACACATACACACACATGCACACAGAGTGATCCCTTTCAGCCTCCTCATCATATGGACAAGTAATCTGAGGCCCTGAGAGAGTTCCCGTACAGATTACCTAGCAGGTTGATGGCAATGATAGACCCAGTAGTGATGGGTCGGATAGGTCCCAAGCACTCTAGTGACAACCCTGTACTCTAAATTGGGACAATCAACCCCTGAACACTTTTCACAGGCTTGTTTTTTCTTTCCAGGTGTTTGAAGATGTTGTAAAAGTAATTCTCTACCCCAATGAGAATATCTTCCGAATTCTCTTTTCTGATCAATCAGGCCAGATACAGTATCCACTGGAGCACAAGGACACCTATATTGACATATATGGCACCTAAAAAGTCTAGGATTTGGGCTGGGACATGGTTTTACCAAGGCCTGCACTCTCTGCAGGGCGCTGCAAGGGGATCCCAAGGGACTGCTTGTGCCTTAACCATCTTCCAGTTACCCATCGGGAAACCTGGCTGTGCTCTCCTTCTGTACGCAAGAGAGCCAGTTCACATATATCATTTTGGAAGACAGTAAAGAAGGGTGTGTTCGAGCCCTTATCAACAACACTGGCCATGCCACCATCTATGATGAATACAGAGAAATCTGGTAAGCTTAGGTCATGAGTTCCAAACACTTATCCGCATGAAGAAGCAGTGTGGTTAAGGCTTGACTCACTCATTTCTCTCTGTCTCTGTCTCTCTCTCTCTTTCTCCCGCTCTCATTCTTTCCCTCCCTCCCTCCCTCCCTCCCTCTTACTTTTGCTTGTGAATTCATTCATTGGACTCACACATGTTGGAATGGGGAGATGGGTACCACTATGGACCAGTAATACAGGTCCCTGACCTCAGACAAGGCATATTGTCCTTGTCCCACCAATGCTTTTCCCCATGAGTGAAACAGCAGTCACAGACTTGGGGCAACCACTTCTATTGCTTCATCTCCTTTACTCCCCTTAAGAGTCAAACCTCATGAGAATTAACTTTGAAAGACCCAGGACCCCTCTACTCTGGGAGCCTCAGAGAGGAGGGTGCGGTGAGCGCTCTGGAAACCCATGTATTATATTCAAAAATATAACTTCTAAATATTTCATTGTAACTGAACTTAGTTCTTAAGTTCCCTTTCTGGTAATGGTGGAAAACTTCACCTTACCAATTCAAGGTGGTTTAGTCACTTCAAAATTTTTGCCCATCTCTTTGGGGTACAGACTATCTTTTCAGGTTTCCTGTTCCTGCTGTGTTCTAAGTGGACATGTAGTGGGAAGTGCATATTATCTTGGATCAGTGTTATATTTTCTTTCTTTCTTTTTGTTGTTGTTGTTATTTTGTTAATCTTTGTCCAAAGAGATTTTTCTTTCTTTTTTTTTTTTTTTTTTTTAGAGAGAGAGAGAAAATGGAAGGGAGAGGGAGAGACAGAAAGAAACATTGATGTGAGAGAGAGACATTGATTGATTGCCTCCTGTATGCACCCAACCAGGGCTCAGGAACCTGCAACCAAGGTAGGTGCCCTTGACTGGAATTGAACCCAGCACCCTTCAGTCCACAACTTGATGCTCTATCTACTAAGCCAAACCAGCTAGAGCTTACACTTTCTTTCTTATTGATATTAACTTTTTTCTTATTAATTCTGCCCCCCCACCCCCCCGCCGCCCCGCCCACAGCCAAAAAAAAAAAAAAGACACAAGGATTTTCATATTCCAAGCCTTGGTTTTTAAGAATATTTTCTCTGTACGGGTTTTTTCGACATTAGCTGTCTACTTTGTTCTCAGAGGTGTCTGCCCTCCCTGAAGGTCCCTTAGTATAAAAATGATATCTGAAAGGTGGAAGAAGGTACTAGATACAAGAAGCACCAAGTAGTGGGGGCAAGAAGCTTGGTTAAATTATCCCAAATGGCATCTGGCTGCATATAGGTGGGCCTCTTCTCTCTAATGACACTTATTTTTAGGGACAAAATAGACTTTGGGGGAGTCTACTTTCATTTTCTTGATGAGAAAACTGAGCTTCAGAGAAGCTAATAAGTCACTTGCCCTAAGCCATACATAAAATTATAGGCAAGAAATTTTATGGCATTTTGACTCAGCCTGAAATTAAGCATTTTTTAAAATTATCAAATAAGGTTTGCAAGAGAACCTACATCTTTTTTTAAATTATTTTTATCTTTATTGTTGATATTATCACAGATGTCCCTCTTTTTCCTCCCATTGCTCCCCTCCACCCAGTTCCCCCACTGCCCCAGGCCTTCACCACCCCATTGTCTGTGTCCATAGGTAATGCATATATTCATATAAGATCTTTGTTTAATCTCTTCCCACCTCCCTCACCCCCCTTTCCCTCTGAGAATCATCAGTCTGTTCCATTTCCATGCTTCTGATTCTATTTTATTCACCAGTTTATTCTGTTCACTAGATTTCTTATTCATTTATTTTGATTTTTAGATTCAGTTGTTGATAGGTATGTATTTATGGCCATTTTGTTGTTCATATTTTTTTATCTTTTTCTCCTTCCTCCTCTTCTTAAAGAATACCCTTCAATGCTTCATAGAATACTGGTTTGGTGGTGATGAACTCCTTTAGCTTTTTCTTATCTGTGAAGCTCTTTATCTGATCTTCAATTCTAAATTATTGCTTTGCTGGGTAATCTTGGTTGTAGTCTTTGCTAGTCATCACTTTGAATATTTGAATATTTCTTGCCACTCCCTTCTGGTCTGCATAGTTTCTGTTGAGAAATCAGCTGACAGTCAGATGAGCATTCCATTGTAGGTAACTAACTGCTTTTCTCTTGCTGCTTTTAAGATTCTCTCTTTGTCTTTAGCCCTTGGCATTTTAATTATGATGTATCTTGGTGTGGGCCTCTTTGGGTTCCTCTTGTTTGGAGTTCTCTGTACTTCCTGGACTTGTAAGTCTATTTCTTCCACCATATACGGGAAGTTTTCTGTCATTATTCCTTCAAATAAGTTTTTAATATCTTGCTCTCTCTCTCCTTCTGGCACCCCCATAATGCGAATGTTGGTATGCTTGAAGTTGTCCCAGAGGCTCCTTACACTATCTTCATACTTTTGGATTCTTTTTCCTTTTTGCTCTTCTGGTTGGGAGTTTTTTACTTCCTCATATTTCAAATCATTGATTTGATTCTCAGAATCCTCTACTCTTCTGTTGAATCCCTGCATATTATTTTTTTTTATTGCTTAAAGTATTACAAAAGGTATTGCATATGTGTCCATTTTTCCCCCCCGCCCTAGACAGTCCCCTAGCCTCCTCTATCCCCCAGTGTCTTATGTCCATTGGTTATGCTTATATGCACCTGCATGTTATTCTTTATTTCAGTCAGTGTATGCTTAATTTATGACTCATCCTTTTCCATTTTTTTTGGAGTTTCTAGAAGATTCTTGAGTAACCTTATAACCATTGTTTTGAACTCTACACCTAGTACTTTGCTTTCTTCCATTTCTTTCATTTGTGACATGTTTCTTTGTCTCCAGATTTTAGCTGCTTCCCTGTGTTTTTTTCTATGTATTGGATAGAGGTGCTATGTCTCCTTGCATTGGTAGAGTGGCCTTGTGTAGTAGGTGTTCTGTGGTTCAGCCTTCTCAGTCACCTGAGCTGGGAGCTCTAGGTGCACCCTTTTGTGGGCTGTGAGCACAGTCTTGTTGCAGTTGAGACTTAATTGCTGTTGGTGTCACTCCAGGACAATTGGCTGTGAGGGACAGCTGCGACTACAGTGGAAGAACTGCTGTGCAGGAGACACCCTTATGGAGCAGGACTTGCTTCAGTGGGGCTTTGGTGTTCACTTAGTCTGCCCCTTGTGTGTGTTGTTTATGGATGTGTAGAGTTGTAATCTGGTATGGTCTGACACTGCCCACTGGGTGCACTGGCTCTTGAGTCTCCAGGGAAGTGCAAAGTCAGCCACTGCCTGGGGCCACCCAGGAGGAGCTACAGAGAGATCTGCAGATTCCTCCTCTTTGAATCGGGTTTGGAAGTACCCAGATGAGGCCCAACTATGAAGCAAGGCAGGCTGGTGCTGGTGCCCAGTCTTGGGCTTTTTATTGATAGGTTTGGGGCTCCCTGACCCAGCTGCAGCTTGTTTGAGAGATTTTAGACTGAGCAAGGACATATGCAACAGCCACTGCACCCAGCTTGGGAGGGGTTGTAAATTGGATGAGGCAGGGTCTTAGAGAATCACCAGGGCATAGCAAACAGAAATGGCTTCCAGTCAGCCCTGTGACTGTGGTGGTCCCAGCATAGAAACAATGATCCCTGTGAGCACCTCTGTCTGGGAGAAAGCTGCCCCTGAATCCCTACCCTGATGCTGGACAATCAGTTCCTCCTCATATGTGATTGTGTTCCCCCGAGTCTCTCCCTGGTGCTGGAGCAGAAAATAAAGCAGGACCTTGCAAGCTTAGTTCATACTGCCAGCCTTTTAAGAGGAACAGATGGGTCTCCAGCAGCCTCCCTGTCACTGAGCTCCAATCCACACTGGTTTATACAGCCTGTAGTTCTTACTGCCCATAGGAACTTCTTTTACCAGTTTTGGAAGGAACCCTGGGCTGGGGGTGTGCTCTGGGGCTGGGACCCATTGCCCCTCCAGGCGGCCTCTGCAGAGACAATCTCCCTCCCAATTAAAAAAGTGGCCCACATGGGTGCCGGACCAGCCCATTCCACACCTCTGCACCTCCTACTGGTCTCAGTGTGCTTTCTTCTTTACCTCTCTAGTTGTAGGACTTCCATTCAGCCAGCTTTCCAAAAGTTCTGGATGATGGTTGTTCTGTATTTTAGTTGTAATTTTGATGTGGTTGTGGGAGGCAGTGAGTACAGGCATTTACCTACACCACCATCTTCAAATCCAAGAAACTACATCTTATCCCTGAATCTCAGCCCATCAAAACCCAGGGGGAAGGATGGTGCTCGGATTCAGATTCTGTCAGTCTGGGTAGGGCTGGAGACCTGCACTCTGTAAGAGATTCCCAGGAGGTTGTGCAGGTCTCCAGGGTGTGGGGCCCAGGCCAGCATGCCTCCACTAGCCTTCAGAAATCAGCCAAGGCCCATAAGCTGGCAGCAGCTACCTCATCTATCAGGCGTGACGCCCCTCTAAAGACCGTAAGACAAAGACAGGAGACCCCGAAGGAAATACTTCCATCTCCTCATCAAAATCAACAACAGTGGATAGCCAAGCCATTGTGCTGACACAAGACCTTTGTTGGGACCCCAGGAAAAACTCAACCTCACAAGGGAATGAGCCCAATGTCCCGTCTGTGGGACAGCAGTGACTAGTGGCTCAATTTCTCTCCCCCAGAGAAATTGCTTCCAGGCCTTGCTTCCAGGCCTCAGGCACTAGCCTCGGAGCCATTTCTGGATTCAGGGACCCCGAACTTCCATCTCCCATCTCTCTCTGTGGGCCTTGCTGTCTTCTAGTCTTGAAGTTTTTTTTTCTGAAACTGCTAACCACTTCACCATTCATGGTTCTCAAGAGGGGAGATACACTGGCAGCTTCCACTTCTAATGCTGAGCTCCTTGTCACTGGAGAAAAGAGAGGCTGCCCCACATTGAAAACTGCTCGTTAGGTTCGGAGTGGGCCTCGTGAACCTCTGCAAAAGGCTTCCACTCTTACCCACCCTGGGCTGGCCCCTCTGTCCACCGAAAGGCAGCCCCTGCCTTTCCCTCCTTGCTCTCCAGCTGCCCCCACAGCCGAGCACACACCCCCATAGTATCAGTCATTTTTCTTGTCCTTCCATTTTGGTGCTGAAGGAGCAGGCCAATAAGGAAAGGGAAGGGGTCCCCTCAGCAGGTCCTGGCCCCTCTGCACACAGGCCTGGTGGGCCTCTCGTCTCCCCCCAGCAGCCCCTCCTCACTCAGCTGTCTGCAGTTGCCCAACATTTCTGTCCTGCCTCCCCTGAGGGCAAATGCATGTTATCTGAGTCATGCTCTAGTTTGGCTTCAACCAAAGTGAAGCAGCAGCATTTCAGGCCTCAGAGACTTGGATGAGAGAGGAACTGTCTCTGTGTATCCCACACACACACCCATCCCCCCAAAAAGTCATTGCACAGGGCAGAATGGGCTCCCCGTCCCAAGCTGCTTCCCTCCCTAGGGGCAGCAGCACCAAAGGAAAATTCTATCCTGTGAGGAAAGGTCCCTGAGAGAATCCATCGTTAGAACTGCAGTCCCTTTGTCACAGGGAGATCGATTTTGTGGCAAAGACCCGCCGAGTCATTTGGGAACACAAAGCTGCTCAACCGGGGCCATCCAAGCCTAATCATTGCTAGAAATGGCCACAGCTGCTCCCCAGGTCCCAGCCCCACCCCCTCACCCTCAGTGTGTGCCAAGCTCCTCCATTGCACCCCAGGCGCTGGAAGGGATTTAGTGCTAAGCTGTTTAAGGACTGAATATTTCTTTGGTCGTTTTTTATTTCCGTCTCCTCAGGAAAGGTGATGGCATAGTTGTAGTTTGCCGGTGTTTGGAAACTAAACCCCAGCATCGCCCACAACCTCCAGGCCCTGGACTTGAGGAATCTCAGACCGGACCTCCTGCCAGGCTTCAGGGTCCCCCACAGCAAAGGGCCCAGACCTGCCTGAACTCAGGGTTCCTGGTGGGTGGGTCTACACACTCCACAGCTTGGGGTCTTTACACCCCCTAGGAGGAACCTCCAGATTTAGATATCTGGGGGTTCTAGACCCATTTTCCTGAGGAAGCCTCAGCCCAGAGCTGGGTGCCCAGGGCAGGGACAGACCCCTGACCCCTGGGAAGGCCTTGTGAGAGAGCTGTGATAGGGGCCATCACAGGGTAGAGCTAGCAGGATCTGCTCCCCACAGGGTGGAAGAAAAGTCCCTCTCTACCCTTTTTTCCATCGATGGTAATAAGGATATTCTAATTATGACCGAGTTATTGCTATGTACAGGCACTTAATCCTCCCAGCAACCCTCTGAGTGAAGTAGTAGTATCATCTGCAGTTGAAATTGAGGCATTGGGAGTAACTAGCCCTAGTGGCAGATCTAGGCTTTAAACTTGGAGATTCTGACTCCAGAGCCCAGATTTTTAACTCCTCACGTGCAAACAGCCTCTTGTCTACTTAAAGAGAAACGAGGTAGGCCAGGCAGGGCCCGAAGGTGAGAGACTTAGGACTTTTGCACTTTGTTTGCTGGGAAATGGGAAGCAACAGGAGAATCTTAGATTGGGAATGACAAGGAGTTCTCCTGTTGGAGGTGAACAAGACTGCCCTTAGCCGGCCTCCTGCTCTGAGCTGACCTGTGAGGCCACCAGACAGCCCGGAGGAAACCTGGCAGGCGTCTGAGTGACCCTGGCTGCCCCACACCCACCTCCTCTGCTTCCCCAGTTCTCAGATCCTCTGCCCTCTGCATTCAGAGAAGTTGCTGCTCCAACAGCACAGATTCCAGGGACAGCCGTGGTGGGAGTCCAAAAGCAGAAGCCGGGGAAGAGGGATACGGTCGGCTTCAAATGCCAAGAAAGGATGGCTCATCGACAAGAGGGCCTGGGCTGGTGAGGGAGAAGCGCATGCACCCTCACTCATCCAACACCTATTTGCGTGAGTCCCAGGCACAGTGCTGGGGCAGGAACTCATTGGGGAACCAAACGGACGTGGACCTTGCCCTGCAGGACCACATTTTACATTTACATTTTAGTAAAGAAAACACAGACGACAGACAAGTGCAGGTGTTCTCATTATTCAGGATGGTTCTGTTCTATGAAGTCTCCGTGAACACTGAGTAGTGAGCACTGGACTCATTGCTTGTGGGGGAGTGTGTGTGTGTGTTTCACGTAGACAGAATCACAAACACGGGGAGAGCAGTGACACATCTGAGTCCTCTGATGCGCACGTTCCCCGCGGAGGCTGCGTGAGGTGCTGCCTCCCGGAGGACGGACACAGGAGGCAGGGCTCAGTGGCTCAGAAGCCCCAGCTCTGGGGCCAGGTGGACTCCACAAGGATGGGTTGCTTTGAGGATTGAAGATTACCTTCACGAGAGATAGATACACAGTTCTCCTGGAACAACGGGCTCAGTATTCACTAAGTGTTCAAGGCGACTTTACAGAACCTAACACATACACAAATAACAAGAACCAACTATATGTATTAGTAAATTATATGGAGGAAACCAGCAAGGAGCAAAAGATGGAGAGTGACATAGGGAGCCAGAGGGGCTGGTCAGGAAGGGCCTCTGAGAAAATGATGCTTATGCAGGAGCCAGCTGTGCCAAGCAGGGTGGGAGGGCGGTTCCACGCAGAGGAAACAGCATGGCAAAGCCCTGAGGAGGAAAAGAGCACACAGCCCCTGGGACTGAAAGGAGTGCGTGGGAGTGGGGGGCGCAGGCACAAGACAAGCCTAGAGTCTGCACGGGAGGCTGAAGGGCTGCACCTCGTCTTGGGCTTGCCCTCCTAGGTGGAACTTCTCCCACCTGCCAAGACCCATGGGAGCCTGTGGGCTGTTTGTGGGCAAAGGTTGAAGCAAGAAAGGGGGGGAGAGAGGGAGGGAGCAGGCCTGCATCGCCCCCTCGCCCCATGGCCAAGTGCCCAGCTGCCTGATGGGACTTCTCAATCTAGGTTGAGCCTGAGCCAAAACCTGGGCTACTACTTTGACAAAGACAAATCCCAGAAGGCCTGGAACTGGTGGAACCTGAACCTGCACGTCCACGCGCCCCCTGTCCGGTCTATCTCCTTAAACATCAACCAGTATATCAAGGTACAAGTCAAGAGCCAAAATGAGATCATCTTCCGCTTCATCCACCAAACAAACCGCATTTCCTTAAACCTGGGCACTAAGTACAAGGTAAGGTTTCAGGTCCCCACACCTCTGCCCACCTGCACGCAGGCCTCGGCTGGCTCTTACTGGTCGTGCCATGGGCCCCGGGCCATGTTCTGCATGACTCCAACCCATAGGAAAACAAGGCCACGATATCAACATGCCTCATCTGGTCTGACACTCACTACAACCCTGTCATCTGGCAGGGCCAGAAACAAAGGGGAAATGTGTGTCCCCAGCCCTACTCTCCTTCTCACACATGCTCATTTCCAAAGAAATGACTGCCTGGAAGTTCAAGGCCTCTGCCCAGTCCAGGCAGGAAGTCCAAAGGAGAGTTAGTTTCCTCGGCTGCTATAACAAATGACCACAAGCTGTGGGGTTTAAATCAACAGAAGTTTATTTTCTCACAGTTCTGGAGGCTAGAAGGTTAAAATCGAGGTGTCTACCTCCAAAGGCTCTGAGGGAGAATCCTTCCTTGTCTCTCCCAGCTTCTTGGTTCCCGGCATTCCTTGGCCTGTGTCAGCCTCACTCCAGTCTCTGCGTCTGTCTTCACGTGGCCGCTCCTCCACGTCTCTCTGCACATCAACCTCCCTCTCCTTTCTCTTATAAGGACACCAGACATTGGAGTTAGGGCCCACCCCAAGGCCTCATCCACGGTCCTTAACTTGATTACATCGGCAAAGATCCTATTTCCAAATACGGTTACTTTCACAGGTTACTGGCCATGTCTTTTGGGGGCCACTGCTCTGCCCACTACGAGGGGAGAGTCTGGACCCTAGCGTTCTCACTGTGACAGGGCAAGAGGCAGGCTATTGAGACCCTTCCTGACCACCAGAGTGAAGGCGGGGAACTGGGAAAACTCAGAGGCCTGGAGCTGCTGGGATCTGAACCTCTACATCCGCACGGCCCCTGCCCAGTCTATCTCCCTAACTGCCCCCTGAGACACACACAAGATCCTGTTCCTGCTCCAGCTCCCCCGCCCCCGCCGCCCACCCACTCCACAGAGGGCTCTGTTTACAGACCCACCAGAGAGCCATTCCAGGCCGCTGACAGCATGACTGCCTGGGGAGACAGAAGGACATGTCTTGTGGGAAGTGGGCCAGGCGGAGAAGCAGGCTGATGGAAGGGAAGAAGCAGACTCAAGCACAATTAAGCTGTGTAACTAATATTTGAAAGGAGAGGAGAGAATGTGGCAGGTTAGGGTGACCACCACCCCAGTTTGCCCAGGACGGAGGCTTTTTCCAGGACAGGAGACTTCGAGAGCTAAAGCCGGGACCGTTCATGCAGATCCAGACAGCTGGTCAGCCTGGTCCCCTTGCCTAGGAAGGCTGCTGGTTTACAAGCTAAAGAATGAAGTCCCAACCTTCTCACCTACCTGGGCCCCCAGAGCAGCCACCTCAGTAAAGAGATGATGCATACTTATGGTCTCCCTGAGTTTTCCATTTGCCCCTGCACATGGAGATGAGCTAGGAGGGAGCAGCTAGAATGGAGAGGGCACGAGGACCTGGGGTTCCACTGAGGGAGGGTCAGCAAAGGAAACCAATGCCCCAAAGGGCAGGTGAATGGCTGACATGGTCAGAGTCCTGTGCCAGTGGAAGGCGGCAGGAGGCCAAAGGAAATGAATCAGCACAGATGTGACTCATTGGCAGGGTCCTCCCAGGCCAGGCAGCAGGGCGTCCTGAGAACACGCCAGCCCCTCCGCTTCCCGTGTGACACAGGCAGGCCTCTTGCTCCTTCTGAGACTGTTGTCGTTTATAAAGTGACAGTGACGTTGTACGGCTTCAATAAGACGCTTTGTGTGAAAACATTTCATAAGTTGGATACTTCTTAGAAATAGAACATCTTGGTTTTCTTTAGCATTCTTCTGGGAGGCCCTTTGCTCGGCCTTCTGTTGCTACAAACCAAGGCCGAATTGCAGTAGAGGTGGCCTCACTGGGCAGTGCCTCATCCCAGCAAAACCCAGACACACTCCAGCGAGCCCGCAGTGGGAGTGCGGCTCTCGGCAGACACTTCGGACAGTCTCCCAACTGTGGCAGGGCCTCCGTGGGAGGGGATCCATGGGGAAAAGCGGATGTCCTCAGGGGGGCACAGCCTTTGGATGGCAGCCCACACCAGGTCTCAGGAGCTGGCACCCTTTGGCTTGGGTTCAGGCTGGGGGGTGGCCACAGGCACAGGCCCAGCACGTGTCCTTGGGAAGCAGCAGAAAGGTTGCTGGTGGTTGGGCTGGGAGCGGAGATTTGCCCTGGAGAGTGGTGTTCTCAGGGAAGACTCGGTCCTGGCCACAGGGGTCTGATCCTGGGGGATTGGGGCGGGGGGGGGGGGGGGTCTGGGTAGCATTTACCCTCACCTAGCCTTCCGTGAATTCCCACAGTTCATCAACCCGGAGAGGCTGAAAGAAATGAAGATGAAAGCAATCCTGGAGGTGGACTTTGGTTCAACGGCTCGGAAGATTCAGGTCCTTCTGGGCAAAATGAGTAGGATCCTGCATTTCCTGACCATGCGTGATTTGGAAAACTTCATAGAGAGCGCCACGAACTTGCTGCGGAACAGCAGTCGGAAAAGGAAGAAGTTTTAGGTCCCGACGAGCGCCGTCGCCACACTGCCCCGGGCTTGCCAGCACCTGCTGGACGTCCCTGGAAGCTTATGGTCAGGAGCACCAAGGAAAACCCCAAAGTCTCGTTTTTGTCTCTCGAGAGTTGTTTTGTAATGTGGGGCCTGTCACGGTAGCTTGGTTTGACAGGAAAAGCCTTTGGGGTTCTGACAGATTCCGCGGCGGGGGACAGAAAGGACCCAGGAGCCGGCCCTGGCCCGACAGCGTTAGAGGCAGGCTGTCTCAGGGGCAGGACAGTCCACAGCTGTCCTGCTTGCTCCCACTGGTCACTGCGACCTTCCTGCACCTGGTTGACTCAGGACATAGACCGTCTCGAAGGCTAGCTCTGCCAAGTGTTGGCTGTGTGGCAAGTAGCTTTACGCCTCAGTTTCCTCGTCTATGAAATGGGTCTAGAAATAGTAGCTCTCACTAAGCCTGAACTCATCTCAAACACCTCCTCTCCCACCCCCAACAGGGCAGAGGGAAACCCAGACAGCAAACCACAGCCTCCCGCAGGGGGTCCCCCAAACCAGGAGCCAACTAAGCCCAAAAGGACCAACACTAACCCCCCCTCCAATAGCTGGGGCCCTGGTAATAGCTACCAACTGGAGTAGGTAAAGCAAAACAGGAAGCGAATGATCTGGATGGGAGATGCAATGGCTCTCAGAAAGGACAGGAGCATGGAAGGCTGCTAGAAGCCAGGAGGACATTCATCCTCATCTCTGCGACACTCATCTTGTTCTGAAGACATTTTCTATGCACCTCAGTTCACGTGACTTTGTTTCCTGATCTCTCGCAGAACACCCAGTGGTCTCGGATTGGCTGGCTCATCTGGTGCAATGCAGGGTGATAGGGAGGGCGGGTTATGTCTTGTAAACATGGTTCCTAGTTGATGCCTGAGCATGGGAAGGGGTGGGAGTTTCTAGAACGGGGAACTCAGGAGCTGGGCAGTGTGCCTTTTAAATCCCTGGGACACAGCAAATTTCCCAGGGTGATTTCAACTGCCGCCTAAACCAAGACGGGAAACCCCTTCCAGCAATTAGCCCTTCCCTGCCATGAGCCGGGTGCCTGCCCTCCTGCTCTCACACTGCCTGCCTCCACCTCTAGCCATCACCCCAGGCGTGAAGCTGCGCATCTGGGCTGGGACTAGGGTGCTGAGGCCAGCGGGGCGTCACAGTCACTTCCACTGTTTGACTCAGACTTGTTGGTGAACATATCATCAGCTTAAACTACAGTTACTACCATACCTGGCATGGATGCCACTGTAGACGTGGAGCTTTGCAGGCCACCCCCAACATGCCCGTGGGCCTTGTTGGTTGGGCACCTCCACTCAGGAGGCGGAGAAGCCCCTTTCCTCACGGGCACTAGAGACAAAGCTCCTGAGTCGCACTTGGCAATGAGCAGGTCCTTCCAAGCTCCCAGATGTTTCTCCCGGGACTGAAGGCCTCGGACCTGAAGGCGGGTGCGCCCTGCAGTCAGACAGGCCTGGTTGGCCGTCTTGGCAGCACCGTTTGCCAGCTGTGGGGCCTGGGGCAAGGCAGTGAGCCCCGCTAGACTCCGTTCCTCACCTGAAATAGGAAGAGTTACCGTGAAGACGAAAGGAGGTGCGTCGGTAAGGCACTGGGCATGGTGCTCAGTAGGTGCGGCTCTTACTGTTTTGAGCCACTTCCTCTCCTCGGTCTTCCTACTTTCACCAAACCTGGACACAGGCTTCCGTTAGTGCAGAGGCTGTCCGCAGGGAGCCTTGCAGAGGCATTTTGTCTCGTCAGACCCGTTTTAAACTATGTTGTTGCCAGCATTTAATAGATGGGAGGTTTCCAGCCGCTCCTGTGACGCCTGCTCTGCGCCAGTGTGTCAGAGCCTGGGCAGAATACCGAACTCTGAGTTATTTCCATCAGGAAAAGCGAATCACCTCACAGACTGGGCAGTAAATACTGACAGCAGCCAACCAGCTGGCCAGGCCTGTAAAGGCCCGGATCCCACCCGTCAGTCTGCTCAGGCTGCTGGAGCCAAGGGCCACACTGAGCAGCTGGAACCACGGAGACTGATGGTCTCGGCTCTGGAAGCTGGAAGGCCACAGTGCAGGGCTTCCCCGAGCAGGTGCTGGGGAGGGTGTGTCGCCCGGGCCTTTCTCCAGCTTCGGGTAGCTCCTTGGCTTGTGGCAGCATCACTCCAGTCTTCACAGGGAGTTCTCCCCGTGTGTCTGGGTCAAATTTCACCCTTTTATGTGGACACCACTCATAATGGGCCAGGGGCCCCCCTACTGCAGTCCGGATCCCACCCCGTGTCAGTGTGCTCCAGTGCGCCTCACCTCACCAGTAATCACATCTGCAACAGCCCTGTTTCCAAATCAGGGCTGTGGTACTGGGCATCAGGACTTCAACACGTGAATGTGGGGGACACAGTTCAACCCTAACACATGTCTGCCTCACACCCCAGCCCCCTCAGGCCCTGCACTTCCTGAGGGGACGAGCCCTCTTGCTCATTATCATTTCATCTTCAGTGACTTGGCCAGAAACGGTGCTTCTCCAAAAACAAAAATGGACTCAGTTGGGCTCTTTATCAATACTCACTGTTCAGTGACACACAAGGGTTTCCTGATGGGTATCCTCATCAGTGAATGCCCCAAGGCGCATGGAGTCTCGTCCAGTGCCTACAGAAATTACTAACAAATTCAGTAATAATTACACTATGTAATAGGTATGCACTGGGCGCCTACCCTGTGCCAAAGGTCCAAAGAGAACAGGTTGTCTGCCCTCGGGGATTACAGAGTGGGGATCAGACACAAGCAACAGCAAAAGGATGAAAGTATTGCTTTGTGAAGGAGCACAGTGGAAGCAAAGGGGTCACCTGGGGAGGCAGGAGGGGTCGCAGGAAGCCTCTCTGAGCCAGGGCTGAGGAAGGACCAGGAGCGGGTGGGGCGCGCTGGGAGTCCCCAGGAGTGGCAAGCGTTCATGCAGAGACAGTGAGCATGTAGGGCAGACAAAAGGCACCGGATAGGGAGACTGTTGGAGAGTATCTTCTAGCTGCACAACCCCCCAGCCCCGTGGTCGGCAAACTGCAGCTCGCCAGCCACATGCGGCTTTTTGGCCCCTTGAGTGTGGCTCTTCCAAACACTACCACGTGCAGGCGCACACGTACAGTGTGATTGAAACTTCATGGTCCATGCGCAGAAGTCGGTTTTCGGCCTGGGCGAGTCTATTTTGAAGAAGTACTGTTGATATTTGGCTCTGTTGACTAATGAGTTTGCTGACCACTGTCCTAGCCCCTTCCTTTATGGGGAAAACACTCTTCTGAGTATTTATTTGTGGGCAGCCATGCCCTGCTTGCCAGGAAGAAACTAAAAAGGTCGTATCAGTCAGGGGCCAGTGAGGACCCAGTAATTCCAGCAGGGAAAATGTAACAAAGGCTAGCACGCTAATACTAAAAGGGACCTGAAAGAGAACTCTAGAAGCCCAAGAACAGCAAATGAAAGGCACAGTGTTCTCCCTCCCTCCCTCTCTCCCCATCTCCTCTCTTTAGAACGCACCCAAGAAGGGAACTAAGAACTTACAGGGAGGATGTGACTGCAGCCCTGGCTGGTGGGGAGGTTCGGGGCCAGGGAGCTGGAGCTGGTGTATAGGGTGCGGCCCCCAGGTTGCGGAAGCTGCTTCACAAAAAGCTTTCTGCCGGGTGCCAGAAAAGCTGGCGGGAGAGTGGGTGTGCCAGGCCTCCCATGCAGTGCTGACAGCCCAAACAGAAGGGAACAAACAGAGCCCCGCCCAGGCCTCGTGTGCACCTCCAGCACCAGCAAAGCCTAATATTGCACCAGCTGGCAGTGGAGGCATGTTCTCAGGGCCCGGCTCAGAATCTCAAAGCCGGCAAAAAGGGTGGATTTGGAGCTGACAGGAATAAACCAGTAACTAGCACAGAGGTCGTCTTCTCTATGCTCCAACACTGTATTGAAGTATGGACTAACACACACACACACACACGCACACGCACACGCACACGCACACGCACACACACACGGGTGCCTCACGGGGAGTGAGTGATCTTGGCCAAGATGAAAGCAGTTGAGTGATGCCCACCCAATCCAGGACTCACACGGAAGTGGAGACCTGACCAACTCTTTCTGCTTTGAAAAAAAATGCATCTGTGATGCTCCCTGTTCTTATCCCTTTGCTCCTCCAGCACCAGTCTGTCCCCAAGCCCCAGCTTCCTTCCAGTAAAGCCATTCCTGCTCATTAGACTAAGATGTCCTCTGTTGCTTGCACTCAAGAACCCTGACAGACACAGAGGACGAATAGTGAGGGCATGAGGCTGGGTAGATGGGCAGGGGCTGATTGAGACAGCCGCGTGTGCCGTAGGAGATAAAGTTTTACATTCTGGAGCAAGGGGAGGGAAGATGTTAATAAGACTGGGCTCTTGTAGTAAAGATATTTCAATATTCCCAACAAGGATATTGAAAACGAGGGCCTTGACGTGGGCAACAGCATTAGAAATACAGAGAAGGGGAAGAGATAAAGAGCTACATAAGATAGGAAATAGGCAGGATTAGGTAGCAATGGGAAGGGGAGGGGAGGCTACGTGATTTTGGCAACAGAGTGGATTCTTTCATTCATTCACCTACTGCAGGCACTGTCCTAGGGGCCAGGTATACAGCAATAAACAAAACCACGCTCCCTTCCATGCAGTTTACAATCTGGGTTGGGGAAGACAGAAAAAAACACACACAAATAAGCAAAATATCTCATGTGCCATATTAAGACAAGTAAGCCAGGTGAGGGAAATAAAGTCTAGGGATTGGGGGTCCCTACAGTAAGTGTACAGCAGGGTTTGTACTGGCAAAGTCTTTGTTGTGAGAGACTGTCCTGTGCATCGTAGGATATTTAGCAGTTCCAGTTGACTTCTACCAACTAGGAAACAGTAATATCCCCGGACACACACCAGTCATGACAACCAAAAACGTCTTCAATCATTGCCAAGTGTCCCAGGGCAGGGGCGAGGGAAGGTGGTCACCCCTTGTTGAGAAGCACTGCTGTAGATCAGCTTGGGGTTTGTTTTATGGTGCAGCATATGTCTCTCTTGGCAAATGTTTCACGTACTTGAAAAGAATGTGTTCTGCTATGTTAGGTATTCTGAATTTCATGAGGAAACACAGGCACATCATTCTATAACTAGGCTACACTTTTTTAAAAATGCCATGAAAACAAGCAAAACCTACAGAGGCGTTGTATAAATTAAAAAGGACTAAAGAGACACAACCACCAAATAAAATCTAAGAGCATGGATAAAAAGCTATGACACATTTGGGGGGACAATTGAAACTAAAATATGGACTCTTACATATTACTGAATACTTTTTGGGAAAGTGATGGTATTAAAGTTATGTAGGAGAATGTCCTTAGTGTTTGGAGATGCTGATGTATTTTAGGATAAAATGTCTTGTCTTCAACCTACTTTCAGATCATTTCCACGTGCATGTGTATACACTGATAACTAAAACCCACTTGGTTAAAATGTGTCAAAGAATTCAATCTTGTAAGAAAATTTTTTTAGAATATACACAGACAAACCCAGATGCTATATGTCAAACATTTCATAGCAATTTGCCTCTCAGGGTTCATTTATTAAAGACTTTCACAGTTTATGTTAAAATTCAAACACTATAGAAGTGTCTAATACTGAACATTTTTAAAATCAGAAATACTTTTAAAAACTATTTCAAAAAAGAAAAAAATATTCATCGGGTCACTATTTAACGGGAGCCACTGTTTCAAGTTCCCAGCAGCTGCCAGGGCTGGCTGCTGAGGGCGAGCAGACAGATGAGCTGGTTAGTGGAAGGAGCGCCGAGAAGAGCTCCCAGGAAGGAGGCAATGAAGCTAGTGCCTGAGTAACGTCTCTCACCAGCATCCCAGCTGCCTTTAATGAACAGACTCTGTGACAAACTAAGGTGACACTATTCTTTCTCACTTATAAGGTAGTAAAAGAGGAGAACTTAAAGATATGGAGTTGTTAAACCAGGGGAAAATACAAATTTGTTTTTATTGCTATTTCAATAATGCTAAATTTCAACACAACCATTTGTGCTGACAGTATTCAGGAAATTGGCAGCTTTGTAAACAAACAAAAATTTAAAATCCTTCAACTAATGAAGCATTAAGATGCTTCAGAAATGTCTTTCCACAATATTCATCTTGCCAAAAGAATCCACACAATGCAAGTAAAACTGGGGAAGTCGGAGTAAGATTGGCGGAGCGCACTAATGTCAATATCCTACTTGTGATATAATGTGTTATAGTTTTGCAAGATGTTACCATTGGGGTCTGTCTGTATTATTTCTTACAATTGCACATGAATCCACAAATTAGTGCAATAAAAACTTCAATTTAAAAAAATTTTAAAGAATCCACACACAACAGAAATGTTAGGAAGCAAAAATCTTTATTTTTTTAAAAATTTACATTTCTTAAAAACAGCAATTTCTAGCCAAATAATATAAAGCCTTTTAAATTAATTATTTGAAAGTATGTACACCCTTTGTATAAGTAAATACTTGAAACTGTACAGATTTAAACAAATATTCATTTAGCAAACAAGTTGGACCACTATCACCTACTCAGCACTTTATAAGGTGTTTGTCTCAGAATAAAAGATTCAACGCAAGAACAAGTGCTGTGAAATATTTTGATCCTTAAGAACACACACTGCTCTGTACATCAAATTACATCAATCATAGTATAGTACATTAATTATGCCCTTATTTCTTTGGAAAGGCTTTTTAAAAATCAAATATACAACATAATACACAAAACTGGGTTTTTACAGTTTATTTCATTAAACATGTATTTTAAATAGTAAATGGAAGTAAATTCAACCTTCCTATTTCATTCATGTCAAAGAATGAATATGGATCTTCTTTACCTTCCCAAAATACAGCCCTATCAAGCAACATCCATCACTAACTTAAACTGAGTTGAAAAACAAGTGGCCTGTTTAAAATGACAGGCATGTAGCCTACCTACACACTGTGGGCGCCTGCTTTAAGGGGATGAGAAAGTCTGCTAGTCACACAGAATGAGGTCTGCAGGCCACATTCCAGAACACCCATCAGTGCTCCATCTCTAGGCTAGTGTGTGAATGCTCAAAATTCCTTCCAATCCAAAAAGCAGGCTGCATTGACTGTCAGAGGCAAAACCAACCCACTCAGGAAATAGGTATTCGTAGGAAAATTCATAGACGTGCATAATGTATTTGATGATCCCTGATATAGTGTGGTAGATGCTAAGGGTGGGCCATCTTCATCCTCCTTGTCTTTGTTAGTAAAGTGTATTTGCTACAGGTACAACCACTGAATATAAAGAACTACTAAACCTGAAGGCAGTGTACAGAAGGCTAGTAACCCTGACCTGCATGTATGAGATACACTATTCATCAGGTTTCCTTCTCTCCTGTGTGTACAGAGTTCACACACCTATGGTACTTCCCAGGCACAAACACTGGCTGTTGTGCCATGAAAATTCTCACTAGATACTGCACATGAGCAGGCTGCAACCCCTGCAGTTCAAGAATACAGACACTGGGACCTTCCCTGAGGTCCCTGACTCTTGAAACTAACACATCAAAAACACAGGAAAAAGGGTGGGAGGAGGTAGAAGAGGGCAAAGGGAGGGCAAAGGGTGGCAGAAAGAGACGTGATTTGGGGTGGTGAGCACGCGATGCAGTGTGCAGATGTAATAGAGGTGTACACTTGAAACCTGTATGATTTTGTTAATCAATGTCAACCCAATAAATTCAATAATAATAATAATAATAATAATGATATTTTACCTTCCCAAAATATAGCCCTACTGGTGTGGCTCAGTAGCAGAGCATCGGCTGCACACCAAAGGGTCATGCATTCAATTCCTGGTCAAAGGCATGTACCTGGGTTGCAGATTTGTTTCCCAGCCCCATTTCAGGAGCATGCAGGAGGCAAACCAATAATGTATCTTTCTCATACCAATGTCTGTCTGTCTGTCTGTCTTTCTCTCTCTCTCTCTTTCTCTCTTCCCCCCCTCCCTTCCACCCTCTCTAAAAAAAAAAAAAAAAAAAATCAATGGAAAAAATATCCTCTGGTGAGGATTAACAAAACAACAATATATTTTTTTAGACACAGGAGATAACACCCTGAATTCCCAGAAAAGCAGCATGTGTTCTCAGGAGCATCCAACTGACTCCAAACTAAATTTCAAAGTGACCGGAGAAACATTATATTGAATGTAGAAACAACTTTTCTAGAAGTAAAAAAATAATAATCACTGTGGAATGCTCAATGGTTAAAAGTGTTGCAGTGTTTCATGCTTTAAAAATCTTACTCTTAGAAGCTTCCTAATTAGCAGTATTTCCATAAAGTTCTTCTCTGCACTATCTATTGCAACCTATTTTCATTGCACATCTTTTGCTAAGAACCATTTCACTGCGTGCCCACCATGGTTACCTCTTAAAAACTTACATTTCTTGAGACCATTTAAATGAGGCAGGTACTGCTGCTCATAGATTAGTCTTTGGCATTTGATGTTTTTACAAGGGAACACCAATTTTTTAACCCTCTGCTTGTATTTCATCCTGCAGTCAGCGACAAGTAGCACGCTGTGTGGTTCTCAGAGACATTCCCACGTACGGTTCCTCAAGTGTCCTGCAGCCACATGACTCTCAGCCGCTCCTGGACAGACCATTTACAAGCACATCCGGACTCATCTGGTTATTTAGAAACTGATAGTAAGAGGTTCAGCTGAAAAGCAAAGTGAAAGGCAGCATTAGCTCTGCTGTGGAATACCACAGAAAAGTTGCTTAGAGCCTCAAAAACAGAACGAGAGGAAAAGTCTAAGATTTTTAAGAGACCAGGAGACATGGCTGTAAAGTATGAACTGGACTTGCGATGCTGGTCTGACTGCTGAAGCTGCCACTGGGCACTGAGTTTGTTGGAAGCCTGTGGGGAGTTACACAACGTCACCTAATCCAGACCCTCAACTCATTCAGAATCCAACGAGGACGACAGAAAAAACTACAGACCAACACTGACAAGGGACAGAAATACATCTAAATAACCAACTCCACCTTTTTCTATGCAGAGTGTGCTTTCAGAGGAGTTGTATATCAGATAAAGTCTTTAAATGACTCTCAAAAGCATAAGAACAGGCATGACAAGTGAATTTCAGCTCAAACTCTCATTCTTACTGAACCCAGGAGCGCCCTGACCACTCTGTACGGGAGGTTGTGACACAGAGCCTGCCAGAAAGCCAAAGAAATCTACGTGGCGACCAAGGGGAAATGACAACCTGCACACTGCAAGTTGTCACCCAGGCCCTAGGCAAGATTTGCAGTTAAATGAACAGAGCAATGAACCCTTCTATAAAGTATAAACTATTTTGATAATCAAAATAATCATGCATACCTGGCCAGTATGGCTCAATTGGTTGGAGTGTTGTCCGGTGCACTGAAGGTCACAGGTTGGATTCCTGGTCAGAACACATACCTAGGTTGCCGGTTTAATCCCCAGTCGGGTGCGTACAGGAGGCAACCAATCCATGTTTCTCTCACATTGATGTTTCTCTCTCTCCCTCTTCCTTCCTTTCTCTAAAATCAATATTTTTTTTAAAAAAAATAACCCCATAACCTCTTTATCAATTTGTACTTCCAGTGCAAGGAACACAACATCACCTCTGTGTTTTTCCTGACCAACATATAAAACCTGGATCTAATCATAAGAAAAAAGACAACTTCAAATGGAGGAACATTCTACAAAACAACTGGCCTATCAAGGCAAAGAAAGCCAAAAAGGCTGCAGAACTGCTCTAGGTTAAGAGAAACTAAAGAGCTGTGACAAGCAGCAGCACCTGGGCTGGATCCCTGACTATGGACTTTGGATTAGATAATAGCATCGATGTTACATTTCCTGTTTTGAGCATTGTGGGAGGGCAGAGTAAGAGAATTCCTCATTCTTAGGAAATACACTGAAATATTTCCAAATAAAGGAGCACAGTGTCTCCCAACTTCCTCTCAAGTGTCTTAAAAAGAGGGGCAAGGAGGGAGAGGGAAGGAGAAAGCAACAATGATAAAGCAAACGGGGCAAACTAAACAGCTGAGTAAAGTTCCTTATTACCATTCTTGCATTTTTCTGTAGGTTTGAAATTATAAAATAAAGTTGCAAAAAATATTTGTACAGATGCTCCTCGACTTACAATGGGGTATGTCCTGATAAACCCACTGTAAGTTGAAAATGCATTTGATTGGCCTAATCTACCAAACATCATAGCTTAGCCTCGCCTAAATTCAACGTGCTCAGAACACTTACATTAGCCCACGGCTGGGCAAACGCATTTAATACAATGCCCACAGTAGAATATCTGTTATTTACACTCGTGATTGGGAGCTGTGGCTCTCTGCCCCTGACCAGCAGCATGAGAAAGTATTGTGGCACATATCACTAGCCCAGGAAAAGATGAAATTCAAAATTCCAAGTACAGTTTTTACTGAATGGATATCACTTTCACACCATCGTAAAGTCAAAAAATATTAAGTTGAACTATCATAAGTCAATGCACTGCCATACATTGGGTCTTAAGAAATGGGTCATAAATGAAATACTCCAAAAAAAAAAAAAAAGAAAAAAAGAAATAGGTCATCTGAAGGAGACTTGTCTTGGGGTGGTGAACACACAGTACAATATACAGTTGATGTATTATAGAATTGCATCCCTGAAACCTATAGAATTTTATTAACCAATGTCATCCCAATAAATTCAATTATTTTTAAAAAGGAAATGGGCCCTAACTGGTTTGGCTCAGTGGATAGAGCATCGGCCTGTGGACTGAAAGGTCCCAGGTTCGATTCCAGCCAAGGGCATATACCTTGGTTGCGGGCACATCCCCAATAGGAGGTGTTGCAGGAGGCAGCTGATCGATGTTTCTCTCTAATTGATGCTTCTAACTCTCTATCCCTCTCCCTTCCTCTCTGTAAAAAATCAATAAAATATATTTTAAAAAAATAAAATAAAATAAAAAGGAAATGGGTCACAAAAATTCAATTTCCAGGGAAATTTAAAATGAGCGAGAAAGTGAGAGTAAACCAGATGGTTCCCTCCAGGAACAATGCAGAGCATGGAAATACATGGTTCCAGTTTCCACCAGGCAGCTCTTGGCCAAGTGACTTAACCTCTCAAGGCCACAGCTTCTTCATAAGTAAAATGGGGTAAATATAGGATGGTCAAGTGAAGATTAAATAAGATGATACATGTCAAATGCTTAGAACAGCACTTGGCAGCAGGCAATAATACTAGCTATTATCTAGAAAATGTTAACAGTTCTGAAAGAGAATCAAGGCACAGAAAAAATGAGGGTCTCTATTAATGTTTTTCAAACTGTGGGTTTCAACCCACTGGGAAATCATGAAAATAATTTAGTGACTCAAAAGAATAAGGAACAGAAAGACGCAAAGCAAAGCAACTGAGTTGCAGATACTGTAAACCTTTTTAATTTACAGATATACACACATACACTAAAGCATGCATCTCGCTGGCAGGAGTCACGTGGAAGCTCAGGAACTTTGTTCTAATAAGTCCTGCCCTGCTACTCCCCATTCACAATCACGCAACTGGCTATGACTGGAGGAAAAAAATTAGACAACTATGTTGAACGGTTTCTCTTGGATTTGCAACCACTGAACTCAACTGAGCCTTCCTCCTCACAGCTTTAGCACCTCCTCACTCTCAGTGGTGACCTTCCTTCCTGTTTCACTCATACACGTGAAGCAGAGGACAGCTTCCGTGAGCTCCCAACACCTCCACTACTCCCGCACATGTGCCCCACTCAGCCTTCTCTCCTTTTCCACAGACGGAACTCCAATGCACCTAACAAAGGCTCCACCTTCCAACAGCTCCTGAGATTCCATCCCCCTTCTCTACTCAAGGACATTTTCCAGCATAACTTTTTCCCTCTCTTTGGACCTTCCTCATGAACATATAAACATGCATTTCCCCCATTTTTTCAAAATAAAAAAGGTTAATAACAATAACAAATAAAAAGTTACCTATAGTTCAATAACAAAAATAGTTATCTACAGGGGGGAAAGGAAAAGGCTGTAGGGTTCTGGAATGGGAAACAAGACATCTCCAGATTTACCTTGTCTATAATTCTGACTTGGAAACCATGTAAATATTTTATCTAATTAAAAAACAAAATTAAATCAAAATGGGGGGAAATATATCTAAATATTAAAAACAAGTCTAACTAAATTATAGTTAACTAGAGGCCCAGTGCACAAAAATTTGTCCCTCAGCCCGGCCTGTGCCCTCTCGCAGTCTGGAACCCCTCAGTGGATAGCCACCTGCTGGCTTAGGCCTGTCCCCAGGGGTTTGGGCCTAAGCTGGCAGTCAGACATCCCTCTGGCAGCCCAGGAGCCCTCAGGGGATGCCCACTTGCCAGCAGGGAGCAGGCCTAAGCTGCAGTCGGACATCATTAGCACTGCTGAGGAGGCAAGAGAGGCTCCCACCACCAAAGCTTTACTGGCAGCCATCAGCCTGGCCTGTGACTGAGCAGAGCTCCCCCTGTGGGAGTGCACTGACCACCAGGGGCAGCTTCTGCATTGAGCGTTGCCCCCTGGTGGTCAGTGTGTGTCATAGTGACCAGTCATTCTGCTGTTAGGGTCAATTTGCATATTACCCTTTTATTATATAGGATAGAGGCCTGGTGCAAGGGTGGGGACCAGTTGGTTTGCCCTGAAGGGTGTCCCAGATCAGGGTGGGGGTCCCGCTGGGGTACCTGGCCAGCCTGGGTGAGTGGCTGATGGCTGTTTGCAGGCTGGCCACAGCCCCTTCAGGGTGGAGGTCCCCGCTGGGGCGCCTAGCCATCCCAGTGGAGGCTGGCTGGAATCAGGTATATGGGATTTAAATATTTATCTTCTATAACTGAAACTTTGTTGCCTTCAGCGGATGCCAGAGCCAGCCAGCACAGGTGGGAAACTTGGCTTCCTCCATCGCTGGGGCAACCAAGTCTCCTGCTTGCTCCAGCTCCGTGGCTGCTGGCCGCCATCTTGGTTGGGTTAATTTGCATATAGTCGCTCTGATTGGCTGGAGGCCGTGGCTTGGGGCGTAGCAAAGGTATGGTCAATTTGCACGTTTCTCTTTTATTAGATTAGATAGTATAATCACAGAATATAATTACTTCAAATAACTTATAAAAAGTCTATTAATGTACAACCCTAGAATTACAGAGATAGCATATACAGCCATGAAAAAGAATGAAGTTCTGATGTATGCTACAACATGGATAAGCTTTGGAAACATGCTAAGAGAAAAAGACCAGTCATAAAAGGCCAGAGTAGACAAGTCCACAGAGACAAAAAGATTAGTAGAAGAGTAGAGAATGGGGACTCTGCTAATGGGTATGGGATTTCTTGGGGGGGGTTGGAGGGGTTGGGGAGGGCATGAAAATGTTCTGCAATTAGCCCTAGCTGGTTTTGCTCAGTAGATAGAGTGTAGACCTCCAGACGGAAGGGTCCTGGGTTTGATTCCAGTCAAGGGCACATACCCAGATTGTGGGCTCGATCTCCAGTTAGGGGGCATATAGGAGGCAGCCAATCAAAGATTCTCATATTGATGTTTCTCTCTCACTTTCTCCCCCTCTCTTCCTCTCTGAAATCAATAAAAATACATTTTAAAAAAAAGGAAAGGAAGGGGGGATTGAGGGAGGGAGGGAGGGAGGGAGGGAGGGAGGGAGGGAATGTTCTGAAATTAGATAGTAGTAAAGGTTGTATAATTTAATGACTACATGAAAAACCAATAAACTGTCCATATTAACAGATGAATTTTATGGTATATGATTTATATCTCAATAAAAAATGACCCATTTCTCCTCCAACTACCACCCCATCTTTTCTCTCTCCATATAAAAAAATCCCTCAAAAGATTTACCCACACTCTCTACCTCGAGTCTCCCTCCTCTCAGTCTCCATCCACTCCAATTAGGTTCTCACCAACCTTACCGCTTTCTCCCAAATTCTCTAGTTCTTACTATACTAAAATATTAAACTATACTAAACTTAAAATACCTATAGAATCAGCCTACTCCTAATACATAATAGGTTAAAAAGTTGCTGACTGGCCCTAACCGGTTTGGCTCAGTGGATAGAGTGTCAGCCTGTGGACTGAAGGGTCCCAGGTTTGATTCTGGTTAAGGGCATGTACCTTGGTTGCAGGTACATCCCCAGTAGGGGGTGTGCAGGAGGTAGCTGATCGATGTTTCTCTCTCATCGATGTTTCTAACTCTCTTTCCCTCTCCCTTCCTCTCTGTAAAAAATCCATAAAATATTTAAAAAAAAAAAAAGTTGCTGACTGAACCAAATGAATCACAAATTAAGTTCTATATTCAGTTTTCTAAAAAGAAATGCTTCTAACATCTTATCTCTCAAATAATTTTCTTTTTCATTTGAAATGTGGGCCTCTTTTCATGACATTGCAAACAAAATTATTCAGCAACCTAAATACCATTTGAATCTTTCACAAACAGTTCATCTTAAACACAGCAACTTTCAATATTAGAAAGAATTAAAAAGCCATTGAAAATTCTAAAGCTAAAAGGGGGCAGAAATAGAATGTTGGGGAACCAGGTAGTATTGTAATAAATATTAATCATGCTCTGTTAACTGTGGCTGTTTTGTTCTGATTAAAGACAGCACATTCTAACTTCGCTGGCAGCTGCACACAGGACCTGGGAGCTCACCTGGAAATGCAGCCCCCCCCCCCCCCTTTGAAGCTGCCCATTATCATGGAAAGATTAACAACTTTGTTGCAGAAACCAGAATCACCAGCCCTTTGAAGATCCCCAGATCTTTTTGCATACCTGCAGGCCTTTGGAAATCTCCAGCCTAACTGCCCATTTGGCCCACCCTTTGGCTATTTCCCCATGTAACCCCAGCCCTTGCATATCACTAAGCCCTTTGAAGAGGCCCAGTCCTTTTGCATATCTGTAAACTGCCCATATACCCTTTTGCCTACTTTCCTTTATACTTCTACCAATATAAGCAGCTGGCTTATGGTGGGCTGAAGAGCTGATTTTTGTGGATGGCCTGTTACTCTCCCATGCTGCCGGCAATACTGGAATAAACGCTATATATGACTCAACCCTGTCTCTGCTTAATTGGCTCGAGTAGTGAACAGGCAGCACGGACCCATTGTTTGTCCAGTTACAAGACCATCATCAAAAATTTGACAAAGTTTGAACCTCTTGCTCATCAGAATAAAATATTGTACAGTATTTACTCAAACAATTAAATAACAAGAATCTTCGGACTATGGATTACCTGTTCCATAGTAGGACAAGCAATGATGTGGATATCTTCAGGACTGAACTCTTCCTTTAACAAAACATGGAGCTTCTGGAAGACTTGTTGAACATTATTCTTAGAAAGAGAAAAGGCAATCATATTAAGTGAGTCTCTAAAAACATCTACAGCCATTTAAACATGAAGCACTAAGAATATTAAATTGTAATTAATTGCCAAAATGAGTGGAGAAAATGTATCTTTCATGGGATTACCAAAGACATAGTCTGCACTTAATATTTCACATGCTAGCACAACCCAAGTAAGACTTATCATAGAATGCTTCCTGGAAAAACCAAACCATAGCAAGTCCTGTCCCCCAGAGAACCTTCAGCAGCAATTTCTTAACAAAAGGCAATCAGGTTCCCAGACACAAACTGTACTTTAAAAACCAACCAACGCCTTGGGTAAGGATGTGAGCCCAAAGCAGAGCTGGAGTTATGAGTTCTAAATTTGCTGACATTTAATCCCTTAGTGGCTGCTACAGCCATTTATTTCCATTACTCACCAGTAACACAGGCATAATCCCTTAAAGGCTGCTCTTTCCAGTGTTGGGCCACACATCCAATGCGAAGTTCTAATTATTTATTTATGTATTTATTTACTAATTTCTACTTTCAGGGAGAAAGTACTTCAGTGACAAAGTGAGGATGGGGGAACGGGGAGACGTATAATCAGAAAAATGCTGCTTGTAAACCTTTCAAGAATCACAGTGATTATTAGTTAACTTTACCAGAATAGTATGCTAACAGGAAGAGTTATACTATTTTTAAGTATCTACAGGAATAGGAAAATGGTAGACAGGGCCAGAACACTTGAAGAGACTGGCCAACATTCAAATAAATTATGATACTCACCCTAACAGGTTTAAACAAGATGAACTCGGTATCTTTATTGGATAGGTACAATGACATACTTCTCAAGGTCAGAGGCAGCTTTGCTTTTATGGTCTTGTAGACGCTTGCCACAAGGTCACTAACCTTTGCTGGAAAGAAATTAACCTCATTTGTGTCACAAAGAAAAAGAGAAGAAACATTTCCATTTTAATTCAAAGGGGAATAAAGGGAGAGAAAAATAACAAAACAAAAAAAGACTATTTCTCCAAAGAATTCTTTCCCTTTTCTTGTTTATTTATCAAATTTAATCACAAACTCCATAAACATTAATAATCTTCTAAATACAAAATCCTAATCCCCAGAGCTAAGGTAGCAAAAAGAATTCCTTGGCATGCTTCAGTACATTTACTGGGGCTGTAATGTGGTTGGTGCCTTTGGAAGATTAAGTGCTTAGGAAAATGAGTTTATTCATTTGCAGAACTGACTCGCAGTAAGATATGCTCTCTGCCTTACAAGATCATTCAGAAAATATCTACATACATTGAATGGGAACTAAAAATTCATTTGTTACATTCTTATACTGTATTATCAAAAAGGGAATAGAATTCCAGAAAATTCTAACTGAAATAATTATGTAGCCAAAGTGTAGTGTCTGAAAAAAAGTTAAAATGGAAGAGTAGCAATCTGTACAAAAGTATTTAAAAGAGGAAATTAACCTAGAAAGCTACAAAGGAAAAGACTGATTAATAATTTCAAAGATGCTCAACTTCACTCATAACTAAAGAAATGCATATTAAGATATTTTCAGATTAGAAAAAATTAAGATTGTGAATATCCACATTTGACAGGGGTATGGGGAAACAGACACCCTCATCCACTGATGATGGGGAGTACAAATTGGTTCGACCTCTTTGGAGGGATATTGAGCAATGTCTAGCAAAATAAACAATACACATACTCTCTCACTTAACCTTTCTACTGCTAGAAATTTACCTTGGAGGTACTCACAAAATAAAATATGTGTGTACAGGGACATTTCTTAAAGACTGTATGGAAAAACAAAAATACTAAAGATAACTTAAGTACCATTAATAAAAGTATTAAAAATAATTGTGCTACAGGGATATATTCTGTGCATCCATTAATCTGAATGGATGGAGCTGGATAGGTTGGTACAGAAAGGCCCCAAGCTACAGAGTAAGTTAAATATGCAAAGAATAAATATAATCTTATTTATGCAACATGTTTTAAGTCCATATAAGTTAGTATATACATAAATAATATGGGGAGGTCCAGCTGGCATGGCTCAGTGGTTGAGCGTCAACCTATGAACCAGGAGGTCATGGTTCGATACCCGATCAGGGCACATGCCCAGGTTGCAGGCTCAATCCCCAGTATGAGGCCTGCAGGAGGCAGCCAATCAATGATTCTCTTATCATTGACTAGAGGCCCAGTGCACAAAATTTGTATACAGATAGGGTCCTTAGGCCTGGCAGCAATCAGGGCTGATCTGTGGGCAACCAGCAGGGCGATTGGGGCAACCTTGGCCGGCCTGGCTCTGCCTGCTTGTCAGCCCCACTCCCCACTGGCACCTATCTTGGCTGGCCTGGGCCTGCGGGCTGGGGGCAGATCCTGCGTTGAGTGCCTGCCCCCTGGTGGTCAGTGCGTGTCAGAGCAACCGGTTGGTTGTTCCACTGGTTGTTCTGCCATTCAGTCAATTTGCATATTAGGCTTTTATTATATAGGATGTTTCTATCTCTCCCTCTCCCTTCCTCTCTGAAATCAATAAATATATTTAAATAATAATAAAAATAATAATAATTGGAGGAAATCATTACTCTTGGTTACCTGTGAAAGGATTAGTTTGGAGGTGGAGAACAGAATTATTTTTCATTTTATACTTTCTCACAATTCAAATTTTATATCATGCTAAAAAAACTTTTTTTTAAATTGAGGACACGGTTGTGGTAGAGCAGGATAGGAAAGTGCCAATCCTCTCAAGGAGAACAAATAATCCAGAAAGTGGTTATTTTTCATAAAATACATGAAAGCTCCTTTAAGACCATTAATTCCACAGGCTCTGGTTCTGTCATTACTAACACACTTCAAGGTTCATTAAGATAGTTTCAGAGCCCTTGATCACCAAAAGGTGTGTTTGGAGCCTAGTAAATAAAGTACAGTAATCCTCCCTTATCTGAGGTTTTACTTTCCACATTTCAGTTACTCTCAGTCCACCATGGTCCAAAAATATTAAATGAAAAATTCCAGAAATAAATAATTCATAAGTCTTAAATTGCACATCGTTTTGAGTAGGGTGATGAACTCTCGCCATCCTAGCCAGGACATGAATCATCCCTTTGTCCAATGTAAAGGGTGTCCCAAAATTCACACAAGAAGTAATTTTGATAGAAAACACAGGTTTATAATTAAAAATTGTAAATTTTTTACTGATTCATAAAGTATACAGTATAGGGTTATGTATGAAATAGCATACATAAAAACTGGATTATCATGTCGCGATAGTGAGCACCATTAACTGTTATTGCCTGAGCAACCACATTTTCGAAGAAGAATGGTCCGATGATGCCTCCAGCCCAAAATCTGCACCAAACAGTGACACGTTGTGGATGCATTTGTTTCTCAACAATCACTCGTGGATTTTCTGAATCCCAAATGCGACAATTTTGTCGATTAACCAAGCCATCAAGATGAAAATGAGCTTCATCAAAATTCAGCCACATTTATGCAAAACGGTCATGGAAAATTTCAACAAAAGAGTGCATATGTGCCAGCAAAGCCGTGGAGGCCATTTACCCGATATGCTATTCCATACATAACCCTATACTGTATACTTTATGAACCAATAAAAAATTTACAATTTTTAATTATAAACCTGTGTTTTCTATCAAAATTACTTCTTGCGTGATTTTGAGACACCCTTTATCTATGCTGTATTTGCTTGTTAGTCACTCAGTAGCTGTCTCCGTTATCAGACTGCCTTTTGCAGTATGGCAATGCTTGTGTTCAAGTAACCCTTATTCTACCTGCAGTGATGCTGCCAATTTGGACATGCCAAAAAGAAGCCATAAAGTGCATGTATGTGTAGGAAAAAGCATAGAATTTACAGGATTCTCTACTATCCTTGGTTTCAGGTATCTACTGGGGGGTCTTGGACTGTATCATCAGTGGATAAAGGAGACTACTGTATCCTCCAATTACAAAAAGATATATTTCCCAGAGTAAATTAACAAAATGACATCCTAACTTATAACTGGATCTCCTGTGAGTTTATCATGAAATGAACCCTGTAACCTGATCAAATCTGCATGAACCAGTAATGCTAGGTTTCTAGAGGCCTAAGACAACTCCCTCAATTGTTTTTGATGCTCCCATCTCAAAAGCTACAAAACCTGTCTTTGACATTTAAGTCTGGGCTTCTTGTATTACAGAGCAAGAAAAAGCAACTCCACAGCCAGCCCCAGTGGCTAGACCAGTGGTGGCGAACCTTTTGAGCTCAGCGTGTCAGCATTTTGAAAAACGCTAACTTAACTCTGGTGCCGTGTCACATATAGAAATTTTTTGATACTTGCAACCACAGTAAAACAAAGATTTATATTTTTGATATTTATTTTATATATTTAAATGCCATTTAACAAAGAAAAATCAACCAAAAAAATGAGTTCACGTTTCAGAGGTTCGCCATCACTGGGCTAGACAGAAGATACAAGTAGGTAAACTCAAGTCCTATCATTTTATTTGCCAAGATCTCCTCACTTAGAAAAAAACAAAATGGGTTAAATAACAAAGCAGCAAGCCCTATTTTAATGTTTTTCTGTCAGCTCCCTTTCATCTTTACTAGTGACAACTCTAGTGATGCTTAAGAGCACAACACACCAACACTGGGGGTTCTATACAGATTCCACTTGAGGAAAGGACCTTTCCAAAGGACACTATGCATCAAGCCCCTGGGCGTGGCTGCACTAAATATAAATATGCCTGGGCCTATTTGTTGGTTTCTATCTGTCTGAAGAAAGATTACACCCAAGAGTTTCATTTACTTAAACACTCAAAATAAAATCAGCTCCTATTTCGAGATAAGCTCTGTAAGTGACTGAACCTTGAGACCAAGGCCCAATTAATCCAAAGATGATTAGAATTCGTTCTAGAATCATGCTGAATAATGCACTAATGAGTCTGCTCCCGACTGTGAGGGGTCAAACAGGTGGTCGCCACCAGGTCAACCATGGTTAGAATTTCCAGTACTGTCAGTAAGACAATCTGGCTTTGTGTCTTCTGACAGAATGTACTGTAGCCTTGAGTACACTCTCTGTCCTTCAGTAAGGTGGCAAAGACCCCAAGCTCATACAATGAATGGAAGGCCTAACGCATGTCACAAAGTTCACTTGCAATAAAGCAAATCAATGCAAACTTATGTTGACAACAACAAAGTTCACATGGCAAATTTTTTAAATAATACCCTGTCTTCCTTTCAGTGCAATTGATAATTCTCTGCATTTACAAATCTTCCTAAGAGATACAGAGCTACTCTTTCAACTTCTTAGTTCTAATTCAACTTTAAATTAACATGAGGCAGCGCAACTGGCATAGCTCAGTGGTTGAGCATAGACCTATGAACCAGAAGGTCATGGTTCGATTCCCAAACGGGACACATGCCCCACGGTTATGGGCTAGATCCCCAGTGTGGGGGCATGCAGGAGGCAACTGATCAATGACTCTCGCTCTTCATTGATGTTTCTATCTCTCTCTCCCTCTTCCTTCCTGAAATTAATAAAAATATATTTTAACTACTGGCCGAGTGCATGAAATTTGTGCGGGGGGGGGGGCGGGGGGGCAGTGTCCCTCAACCCAGCCTGCACCCTCTCCAATCAGGGACCCCTTGGGGGATGTCTGGCTGCCGGCAGTCAGACATCCCTCTCACAATCTGGGACCACTGGCTCCTAACCACTCGCCTGCCTGCTTGATCGTCCCTAACTGCCTCTGCCTCGGCCCCCACCACCATGGCTTTGTCCGGAAGGAAGTCAGACATCCGGAATATGGCCAGTCAACTGGTCTAATTAGCATATTTCCCTTTTATTAGTATAGATAGATTATATAGGATAGGATTGCTTAAATGGGGGGGGGGTCTTTTTCAGCAGGAGGAGATGCTCTTGGCAGACAAAAATACATAATCCCTATATCTGGACTGATAGCCAGCCATATGCACTACACTGCCAAACTGGTCATTAAAAAATTGAACCACTTTCTTACACCTTACACTAAACAGCTGTTGCCCTTAAAACTCCTCCTCAGTCCCCACCTTAGGTTCTGCCTTCGCAGTTCACTCAGGTTAGGTTCTGACTGGTCGATTTCTATGCCAGTCAGTCAATAGCTCCGCCTCCTAGGCAGCCATTGGCTCCTCGCAGTTCACCCAGATTTGGTTCTGATTGGTCGGTTTCTATGCCAGTCAGCATCTCCAGACCTATCTCTGGGCCTGATCAGCAGCTGCCCCAGGCTGCTGACAAGCGGGCTGAACTGCTGACCTCTCAGAGAGAGAGAGGGAGGGAGGGAGGGAGGCATGGCTACTGGTGAGGCCCAGAGAGAGAGAGGCAAGGGCTGATCAACAGCTGCCACAGAGGCTGGGGATCAGACCCTGCTCTCTCCGGGCCTTGCCAGCAGCTGCGACAGCTGCTGATTAGCCCCACCTCTCTCTCTCTCTCCCCGAGAGGTCAGCAGTTCAGCCCACTCACCAGTGCCCGCCCACCTGAGCCTGCTGCGCATGCAGCCTGGCATTCAGTTGTCCCTTCAGTCATTTTGGACGTTACAGACCCTGGCTCTCTATATATAAATTAGTTAATTAACATGAGGCATCCATATATATAAAAGTCTAAGCAACCAAAAGACCAAACGACTGGTCAACCAGTCGCTATGACACACACTGACCACCAGGGAGCAGACGCTTAATGCAGGAGCTGCTCCCTGGTGGTCAGTGCACTCCCACAGTGGGAGCGCCGCTCAGCTGACCAATGCACGCCAGATGCCGGGCTCAGGACTGGCAAGCACAGCTGTGGCGGCGCAAGCCTCTCCCGCCTTCGCAGCAGCACTACCGAGTGGCACTGGTGGCAGGTGCAGTGGGGCCAGGATGAGCAGGAGCGGTGTGGGGCCTGGCCCGGACTCAGGCTCCTCCCTGGATGCCTGCAGCTTCACGCATTACTACATCTCTCGAAGGGTGTCGGACTGCCGGTTTCAGCCCGATTCCCACAGGCCAGGCCCTAGATCGGGCCAAAACCACCAGTCCCACATCCCCCAAGGGGTCCTGTATTGCGAGAGGGCACAGGCCAGGCTGAGGGACCACACTGGTGACAAATCCATGCACCAGGCCTCTAGTTAAATAACAATAACTGAAAATTTTAAAATGGCCTCAATTCTTTTTCCCAAAAGAAAGACCTGACAGGCATAACATTCATTTATGTGGAAAACCAATAATACTAAAAACCTAATTCTAGATTATATGCTTATCAACAGTCAATTCTTTGTAGATGCTAAACCAGAATCATTCTTTGGATCTCCCTCACAATGAGCAAAAAGCTTCCCTACCAACTTGGACACAGATTATCCCAAATTAAAACACTGCTTTTTTCACCATTTTGCCCTTTTTAGTTTCAGAGAATCACTATCACGGTAAGGGCCAGGAGAAGGACGGCCAAATATACCATCTAACAAAATTATTTATTCTGGTTTAATGGCAACTTAAAATATCACAAAATGTACCTAAAATAATGCACAAAGTTAGTCATGATTTTAAATGAGTAATGTCTAATGCTAAAGATAAAAAACAACAACAAAAATAATCTTCTAAAAAATGTACATTTAAGAAAGAGTAAGATTAGGAACATTTCAAGCATATCTGCCCACTCCCAACTGACACTACAATTTTTATTATTTTTCTCAAACACTCTAAAACTCTGAACAGAGGGTGTAGCTTGTATAAAATGATGAACAAAATAATGTACCACATTCCTTTATAATACTTGAAAATAGTAGCATTCATGCTATAATTTCATACTATCACCTATAGTATTTTCATCAAAGCTGTATAACACAATGAAAAATGGTTGTACAGAAACCAGCAGCCTCAGTGTCTCCATGTAAGCCACATTTTATTTTTAGCTGTGTGTGTGTGTGTGTGTGTGTGTGTGTGTGTATGTGTGTAACATTCTTCCTTCCTTGAAATGCAGGTAGTAGTGACCAATAAAAAAAGACCTGTCAGCTCAAAACTGCATCTTGTATTAAGCTAAACCACAGTAAGAGTAGGAAACCTACTCCAAGCTGTCAGAGCAAGGACTATCTAAATGGAAATTAATCAATATCCTAAAAAAAAAGAAATCCCAGATAGCAAAATGTGAATACCTGGTTGTGCCCATGGCTGCTGTGAGAGAGTGTACTTGGGTCCTCCCTGACTGGCCATTGTTTTTAATGCTGAAACCTAGTAAAAGAGACAAAAAAAAGTTTCATTTCATTGATGACAAATTAAACTAGTACTTCTCTCAAAAGATATTTACCACTATTTAAACCTACCTATATATAGTCTATATATATAAAAGCCTAAGAGACCATTATGACAGAACGACCGGAATGACCAGACAACCAGCCGGTAGCTATGACGCACACTGACCCAGACCTTGCTGCTGGGGCCCTGACAGCCTCAAATCTGGTTCACCTACTCCCTGGATGCAGACAGGAGGAAGGAGGAAGCCCGATTCCTCATGGAATCAGCCGTTGGCTAGCTTGCTGCTGGGGGCCTGATAGCCCCAAATCCGGTTTACCCACAACCTGGACTCAGACAGGAGGGAGCGAGGAGCCCAATTCCTCACAGAATCAGCCGTTGGACAGCATGCTGCTGGGCCCCTGACAGCCCTGAATCTGGTTCACCCGCACCCCAGACCCAGACAGGGCGAGATGGCCCCGTTCAGCCCTGATCACTGGTCAGGCCTAGGAACTCCACCCATGCATGAATTCGTGCACCGGGCCTCTAGTTAAAACATAATGAGTCTGGCCGATGTTACTCATGGTTGAGTGTTGACCTATGAACCAGGAGGCCATAGTTTGATTCCAGGTCAGGGCACATGCTTAGGTGGCAGGCTTCATCCCCAGTGGAGGCAAGTGCAGGAGGCAGTCAATCAATGATTCTCTCTCATCATTGATGTTTGTATCCCTCTCTCCCTCTCCCTTCCTCTCTGAAATCAATAAAAATATTTAACAAATAAAAATTAAAAAATAAGTCTTCTAACAACCTAAGAATGTTCTCTACACACTCACACATTTTATTTTACTATGCAAGCCCATATCCTATGTAATAAAAGCCTAATATGCTAAGTGTCCGGTCGTCCAGTCATCAGTTCAACCAATCAAAGCGTAATATGCTAATGATATGCTAAGGCCACTCAACCACTAACTATGATGTACACTGACCACCAGGGGGCAGACAGTCACCATGACATACACTGACCACCAGGGGGCAGACACTCCAACCGGTAGGTTAGCTTGCTGCTGGGGTCCAGCTAATCAGGACAGAGCAAGATAGGCCAGACACACCTTGGAGCCCTCCCGCAATCCCTCTTCAGCTGGCCAACCTCTCACATCTCTCCCCAGCCCTGATCATGCACCGGTGAGGTCCCTTGGCCTGGCCTGCGCCCTCTCGCAATCCGGGACACCTTGGGGGATATCGAAGAGCCAGTTTCAACCTGATCCTGCAGGCCAGGCCGAGGGACCCCACTAGTGCATGAATTCATGCACCAGGCCTCTAGTATATTTATAAAATCAGTCCAAGCTTAAAACAAGCTGAGGACATTTTGTTGATGAGACTTACATCCAAATGGTAAGTACTGACACCTAAAAGCATACATCCAAATGAAAGATCAAATACTGTTTCCTTTCTGTACCTATGGATGCTGTTTTTCTTACAATCATTTATCAAGGTGCAAGCAGTGGTTGCCTTATAAAATGCCAACTATAATAAAAGAGGCACAAAAAACTTCACTTACAGATTTGCTTTTAAAAAATCATTTTAGCCCAGCCAGCGTGGCTGGAGTGGTTGAGCATCGACCTACAAACCAGGAGGGCACGGTTCAATTCCCAGTCAGTGCACATGCCTGGGTTGTGGGCTCAATCCCCAATGTGGGTGTACAGGAAGAAGCCAATCAATGATTCTTTAACCACTGATATTTCTATCTCTCTCTCCCTCTCCCTTCCTCTCTGAAATCAATAAAAATATATTTATTATAAAAAATTAAAAATCATTTTAAAGTTTTTCAATACAATACTCACTAGGGAAAAGGGAAAATTTGCTCCACAAATTCTAGGAAGCCATGTCTTAAATGATCACATATATCTGTGAACTCTAGTGCTTACATTTCATGCTTGTGTGTGTGTATGCATGTTTGGGATATATACCATATGCACATATGTATATGGTATATATCTTTACCTCTGACTCACTCTATGCCAACAGGGCAGGGGAAGGCCTAAATTTGGAATAAGATAACATAAAAGGGATGCTCGGTCCTCTACTAAATATGCTGACTGGAAACTCAATGAGCAGTGAAGGGCCAGAGTTGGAAAAGGAAAAATGAGGCACCATAGAATGAGAAGAGGGGATGGAATTGTCTTCTCAATGACGATTAGAGGGTCTTTTCTTCACAAATCCCACAGTGAGGAGAGTATGAAAGAGATGCATGAAAAAAAAAGAGAGAGAGAGAGAGAGAGATGCATGAGCCCTTACTGGTCTGGCTCAGTTGGTTGTGTGTCTGGTCAGGGCACATGCCAGGGTTTAGGACTTGATCCCCAATAGGGGGCGTGCAGGAGGCAGTTGGTCAATGTTTCGCTCTCATATCAATGTTTCTCTCTCCCCCTCTTCCTTCCTCTCTCTCTTAAAATCAATAAAAAAAAATTTTTAAAAAGATGCATGACTGCCCTACCCGGTTTGGCTCAGTGGATAGAGAGTCGGCCTGCGAACTGAAAGGTCCCAGGTTCGATTCCGGTCAAGGGCACATGCCTGGGTTGTGGGCTTGATCCCTAGTGGGGGACTTGCAGGAGGCAGCCTATCCATGATTCTCTCTCATCGTGGATGTTTCTATCTCTTTCTCTCCCTCTTCCTTCCTCTCTGAAATCAATAAAAATATATATTTTTTTAAAAAGATGCATGACCAGCTTAGCTATATTTAGGTCCCCACTATAGACACGCAGTATGTTTATGGAGAACCATTATATAATTCAGACTTGGAATACATATTTCTACATAAGCCTCTAATTTTTAAAAAATGTTCATCATGTCCAGAGTCTTTTAAAATACACAACTGTATAGTACTACCAGATTTATCAAACTTATACTAATGTCAGCTTGGAGAATCACATCAGTCAATTTTCATTCTCTTGATTTCAAGGAAACTGTACTTTTCTAGAAAAACCCTTTAATCCTAGATTTCATCATAATCAACTTGTTTCTATGGGAAGTTTCACTCTGCTGATGTTATTACAAAATATTCATCTACAATATTTCCCACCAGTATTAATGCAGAATCTTCTCCCAAAAATACAGGGTAGGGCGAAAGTAGGTTTATAGCTCTGAGTACACAAAACAGGTTATTTTTGTATTATTATTTGTTAATTATTGTATTATTTTCCATACAAACAACTATAAACCTACTTTCGCCCCACCTTGTACAAACTATAATCTACAAGCTGGTTTTACATTAATAAAAACTATGATGACTTATGAATAAATTACAAAGTATCAATATCTGTACCATTTTTTAAAAGTTGAAACCTAGGAGGAAAACATTTCCACCATCTCTTTGTAAATTTACATGGTAGAGAACGATCTCTCTCTCTCTCTCTCTCTCTCTCTCTCTCTCTCTCCCCAAATACTTGATATGAGTAGACTAAAAGCCACTAAACAGTAACATGCCCCAACAATAAATAAATAAAGAGTAGTTTGACTGGTTTAACATTTCTATATTTGCTTTTTTGGTAATTATTGTTTTTTAAAACTAATCTATTCTGTTTTCATCTCAGGCTCAGGTATTAGTGTTGATGCCTGCAACAAGTCACTAATGAACAATTTGCTTAGCTATCTCCTGGTCATTTCATAGATACATCTTGTCTCCCAGTTAAGACTTAGTTAAGTAAATTTGAGAGAAAAGTCTGTGATACTTCTATTCTTTTTATGATGTTTTCTAATACAAGTCTGGACAAGCAGTAAAGGCTCAATAAAGTAAAGTTAATTTCAAGACTTTTTAAACATCTTTATGAGGAAAGTCCTCAGTAAAAACACTTAAATTTTTTTTAATGATTAGATTGTAACAGGAAAGTCAAAATAGTCATGATCTGAATTTTTCAGTGGCTGGCATTAGATAGTTAATGGATTTTAGCTAGGAGACAGAGAAAAACAGATGATTATAAACTCATATATCTGGTGATTAACAATTCAATGAGCCCTGACCAATGTTGCTAAATGGTTAGAGCATCTGCCTGCACACTGTAGGGTCTTTGGTTCGATTTCTGATCAAGGGCACGTCCCTGGGTTGCAGATATGATCCCCAACCCTCAACCCGTCAGGACTCACGAGGGAGGCAACCAATCAATGTGTCTCCTTCACACTGATCTTTCTCTCTTCCTCTCTCTCTCTCTCCCTCCCACTTTCCTTCCACTCTCTAAAAATCAATGGGAAAAATATCCTCCAGTGAGGATTAACAAAAAAACACAATGCAATGATACAAAATCAATTTTCAATTATCCGTGCAAAGGGAAGGGAGAAATAGCCTGTAAAACAAAGAGGAAAATAGTTAACCCACTTAACAGGAAGCCCTGATAAGCAGGACTGCCATGCAGGTGCTAATCTAGGAAAAGTGAGAGTCCCAGACCACATGCAGATACTCTCAATGTAACACAGGTAACCAGAGGTCTGCTATAAGCAGTTTTTATCTAAAAATTCAAAACAAAAAGCTTCTACAAAAAGAAACAAGGTGATGTCCTAGACGAAACCATTAAGACTTAGGCTCACTATCTCTTTCTGCCAGAGTTTCACAAGAGAGTAATTAGTTGAAAAAGAAATCTAGGGAAGAATTCAAAATTGCTTTACCAAATATGCACCAAGGTCTATACCTTTGTCATGAACTCCTCCAGCTGCTCTACAAACTGCTTGGTCTGCTGTTGAATGAACTGTTCACAGGCCGATTTCAGATGACGGTCTACATCTTTTTTAGAGTCAAGATAATGTTCTCTTATCTCAGGAGTGCCCTAAAAAAGACAATTTCCTCCTGCTTTTGCGTGCTTAAAAATTACCAGATATGTAAAGAATGCCACTTATCTCCCACCACAAATGAAACAGATTCCTTCTTACCTCCAACAAGAACTCTATTAAGGCGTTGTTGCTATTCAGCCTAAAAAATCTTGGAACAGTCATAGGGTTCAAGATTTTAAATGCTGCATCTGTGAAACAAAATTACTCATCCAGTGAATATGTACAATTTCAAAAGAAAAACTGAGTTACTGTTTCAGAGTATTAATAACATACACTAGTTCTCTATTACCACAGAGCAAGAACAGTTCGGTTTCACCAACTCATCTCCACAATGACATTGAGATTAGTGCCAAGATGGCCACGGTACCCACATATCGTTATTTTCTAGAAGTCAGAAATGCAAAATGACTATTAAACTTAACTATTCACTTATAGAAAAAAGGAAAAATGATAAATGGTAACCGATACCTGAAAATTTCACTGCTTTACTCTTATAATGCTTAATAGTTTGTTTTTTGAAATATTCATATACTTACCCAGCTTCTTTTGCTAAGATCCTGGCTGGCACAGAAATTTATTCATTTGAAGTAGAGTGAATAAACTAATGTGTCAGCCAGAAAGAAAACACCAAAAGGACATATTTACCCCTTAACCTCCAGACCAACTAGATCTATATGAAGTATTAATCGAGGTCTCATTGATGTTCAAATGCAATAAGATATAACATTAGTCATGAAAGGTTAGAGGCTTAAAAGTAAAGATAGCAAGTATTATTAAGGGATAATCAGAAAAGGCCTTTTTTTTTTTGCTTTGCTTTGCCAGAGAGACTGGAGAAAGCAAAGCATGCAATGCTTCCAACTGTAGTTTTACCACAATTGCACTTACTGCCCTGAACCTGATCTTACTGAAAAAGAACTTGCTATCAGATCCAGTGTTCAGAGTAAGGCTTTAGTAAATGCCTCTTTGTGTCTGCTCTCTTTCCTACAAGATAACTGACAATGTGTCTGCAATAAACAGAATCAAATCAGCATATGGTAGAATTACATATACTTTCGAGAAAACATACTTTAAACCAATATTTGCCAAAATTTTAGGATATTTCATTTTCTCACACCTCAGTGGATCTATACTAGAACCCGGCAGCAACAAATTATGAACTTTAAAAAGTGAAAGAAAGTAGATCAGCCCACCACTACAATAAAGTAAGGACTCTCAGTGCCTGGCATTCTTCAAGGTTAAGAGCACTATTCCCACATCTCACATTGAAAAGAAAGAAGAAAATCCACTAGAATGGTTGAGAGACAGAAGCTTCTGATGAGAATAAGCTCTAGAAAAACTATGCATTCTCTGAGGATAAAAGCCAGAAAATTGGGCTGCTGTTTAAAAAAAAAAAAAATCACCAAGTATATGAATAACACACAAGTTTACTATCCAAATTCCAACAGAACCAAAGAGCATTCTTTGTGGTGGAAAGACAAGAGCATTAAGAAAAAAAAAAGAACAAACTGTTTTAATATGACTCATGATGAGACCACGTTGGTTCTCAGGTGAGTTAAATAAAGTCTACTAATTTATAGACACAGTCATTAGGGAACGACCTACTACTACCCTTAGAAATCCTATATTTGGAGTTCCACTGAACCACAGAATACAGAAAATAATTTGAGTGACTGAATTTTCTCAATTCCCCCAAGACATAAGAGAGAAGTTCATTCATCACATAAATGAATGGCTTAAGTTATTAGAGCTGAATTCTCTTGAAAATGAATAAGAAAAGATAACGTTTAGATAATTTTGTAAGTAATTAAGAAAAATGAAGGATATGTGTGGTATACTCTTCACTGCTTAAAGTCAACATCTTAAAAAATAACTACTTTGATCTTTTAGAAATCATCACTTATTAATTCAGAGACAAATGATTAGGATAGATGAGGCATCTTTCCCAAAATGATCCTATATTACCAACTCAAGATCCTATCTACATTACTTAACAACCAACTGATTTAACAATAACACCACTTACATTAAACACCTTAAGTTTACATATATTTTCATTCTTAATGATCTTAATTGATTTGATAACCTGGTAAAGGTATCATGATATGTTGATTATGCTCATTTTACCTGGCATAGGAAAGCTAAGACACCTATTCAAGATCACGCAAGAGCCAGGAAATATTGAGCCAGAAACAGAACCCGACTTTTTCAGACCCAGATAAATATTCTTCCCTTTACCCAGGGAATGTTAATGGACTGACAAACTCAATGTTTAAAGCCATCCCAATTAGCTGACACTGTAGGTAGCTGTTATACTGATCTTTCATTTTTTAACTGGTTATGGTAGTACGTGGCAGAGTCTAAGAGAGGTAATGATATATTACAAACTGAAATGCTCAGATATAGTTCCCTTCATAAAGGAAATACAGCAAGTTAGATGTAATTAGGATGCTCAGTTTAGTATAAACAAGTGACATGCTTAGCAAGCACAGCATGCAAAAAAATTGCAGATGAACATAAAATAAACCTATACCCTGTGCTGATACATTTGGACAGGTCGAACACACCCAACTGTGCCAGCCAGGACAATAAAGTACCTCTAGTTTTCTTGAGGTCCAGGGAAATTTCCTTAATGGTGAATTCAGTGTGAAATGGAGCAATTTGTTCACGAAGAATCAACAGATGCTTTATTAAAAAAAGTTGTCCATCAATCTGAGTCTAAATAAGACAGAAAATGTATGTTATCAGATTAAATAAAAATATGAACATATAAAAAACATATGTTATTAATCAATATTAACCTAAGTTTATGAGCCCTAACCTAACTTTTTTACCCTTAGCATAACTTTATGGCACCAACACTCCTTTGTTGTGCAACGAATTCTCCCCATATTATACAGATTAGAATTATCTGGAAAAATCTTGCTGCAAACTGTTACTAACACTGTTACCAGCTCTACTTAGCATATTCTAGAAAGTAAATCTGACAGAAGGTTGTAAAGCAACACAGAAAGAGAAGTCAAACGTATTTTAACTTGGTGCAAAAGCAGAAGAGAACACCAGCACAGAGCAGGAAGTAAAATAAAAGTTCAAAGTGTGAGCACAATTCTGTCCTCCCATGCCTTTCTAGCTTCTCTTCAGTAATGCAGCGTTCACTATTTGATCAAAGTGGTTTCAAAATCCAGAACATCAGAAATACTTATATTTATACAAAAGTACAAAAGGAGCCTCCAAATGTACAATGATTTGGGCTTGCCATTGTGGATTATCCTGCCACCAACAGAGCACTGGCTACCTATACCCTGAAAGTCTCTGCATCTCCTTTTGTCCTCTCAGGACCCATCCACAAGAGTCTGTGATTCAGCCTTAGTTCTCAAAGCCCTGACCCAAAGAGTGAATAATCATAGCTCTCACTTCAGAAAAGAGCCTCTACAAAACAAGAGCAAGGCTGGTTGCTCCTCCTCAAAATAGAATCCTACCTTGAAAATATTTCAATGAAATTATACTACACTAGAGGCCTGGTGCACAAAATTCACGCACTTGGGGCGGGGGAGAACCCCTCAGCCTGGCCTGCACCCTCTCACAGTCTGGAGCCCTCAGGGATGTCCAACACGCGGCATAGGCCCACTCCCCCCAACCTCTGCAGGAAGCAGGCCTAAGCCATCAGTCAGACATCCTTAGCGAGGTCATGGAGACAGGAGAGGCTCCAACCACCACTGCTGCACTCGCCAGCCGTGAGCACAGATTCTAGTTGAGCGGTGCTCCCCCTATGGGAGCGCACTGACCACCAGGGGGCAGCTCCTGGGTTGAGCGTCTGCCCCCTGGTGGTCAGTGCACATCATAGCGACCGGTCGTTCTGCCGTTTGGTCAATTTGCATATTAGCCTTTTATTATATAGGATATTATATATTATATAGGGAAAGAATAAAGGGGCTGTGAAACAAAGTGACTCCTTTATGGCCTCTTCCCACCTTCTAAGTATACACATAAGTATGACTGATGGAAACTACCTTTGCACTTGGAACAGAGCATTAGCTAAGTGGGGAATGTGGCACATTTTGAATACTTGCTCTCCTTTCAAAAGAACTAGCAACTCCAGCCCTGGCCAGGTGGCTCAGTTGGTTGGAGCGTCGTCCTGTACACCAAAAAAAGGTTGCAGGTTCAATTCCAGTCAGGGCTCATACCTAGGTTGTGGGTTCAATCCCCAGTGGGAGTGAGTTTGGGAAGGCAAGCAATTGATATTTCTCTCTCAAACTGAAGTTGCTCTTTCTCTCTCCCTCCCTCCCTCCTTCTGAAATCAATAAACATATCCTTGGGTGAAGTTTAAAAAAGAATAATAAAAATAAAATAAAAAAGAACTAACAACTTCAATGGACAAAATAATACAGTATAGATTCAATTTACTTTACTGATCCAGAACAGTATCATTTTAGTTTAATGATATAGTAGATGCTCAATTTAAGTATACAAGAACAATTTCTTGTCTTAAAAAACTCTCTTAGACATTAAGTGATCATTTTCACTGATGACTTTTTAAAAAGTTGAGGAGGAATTGGGATCTGGTTCTCCAGCATATTTGTCAGTTCGGTTCAAATGAACTCTTATAAAAATTCTCTGCAGATTTAGATGTTTTCTTTTCATCAACATTTACTTGACATAGTCAGCAGGATTCCAAAGAAGCCCACCCAGGAGCACCCTGCAGATTTGGACCTGGTGCAAAGCAAGGTACAAGCAAGGGCCCATTGTGCCCCACCAGCTCTCCACTTGGCATCGGATGAACTTGGGTGAGTTTCTCTCAGAATTCTGGGCCTCCTTGCTTCAAGTAGCAGGCCATGACTTTATTTGAACTGTTCTTAGAAAACCCTCAATGTGGTAAGGGTTGAGATAACTAAAGCAAAAGGGGAAAATGGGGTGCTGCTTTTACTCTCAGCTTTTATTGCTTACTGAGGATGTGAACAAAATCTTCCCTGGTTAAATGAGAGACTGAACTCTCTTTAGCTCCAACAGAGAAAGGACACTTGCGTCCCCAACCCAAATAGCCATTGGGGTGATGATAGTTGTTCAGACCCTGAAACCAGCGTGGCGGAGATGGGCGCCAGGAGTCGCCCAGTGCAGTAGTGTAGTTGACCCCAGAGAAGCCTGGGATGAAGGGCAGGGTGTCCTGCAATTTCACCTCGAGAAAAGGGATAGAGAAGGGCCTGTGCCTTGGAAAGCATCTGTTAACCTCTCTCTGGGTCTTGCTTGGGTATTCTTAGGCAACTAATAAACTTTGTAGGGTTGCCTGAGAAAAATTTCCTCTAGGGTGTAAAGTAGTCCCTATAGGGATATTCCCTGCATTTGACTCATGCACATAAGGGCTAGTTTTTCCTAGAATATTGTTCAGACTTTACAGATCTCAAAATTAACAGGGGAGCCCTGGCTGGGTGGGTCAGTTGGTTGGAGCATCATCCTGTACACCAAAAGGTTACAGGTTCGATTCCCAGTCAGGGGACATACCTGGGTTGCAGGTTCGATCCCCAGTAAGAACGTATACAGGATGCAACTGATTGGTGTTTCTCTCTCACACTGATGTCTGTCTCTCTCTCTCTCTCTCTCTCTCTCTCTCTCTCTCTCTCTCTCTCTCTCTCTCTCTCTCTCTCTCTCTCTCCTCTCCCCCCCCCCCACCCCTTCCTACCTCCATCCCTTCTTATAGTTCTAAAAATCTCTAAAAATCAATAAAAACATATCCTCAGGTGAAGATAAAAAAAAAAATTTTAAAGTCCAGTTGGTGTGGCTCAGTGGTTGAGGGTCAACCAATGAACCAAGAGGTCACTGGTTCAATTCCCACTCAGGGCATATGCCTGTGTTGCAGGCTCGATCCCTAGTAGGAAGCATGCAAGATGCAGCCAACTGATGTTTTTCTCCCATCAATGTTTCTATCTCTAGCCTTTGCCCTTCCTCTCTCTCTAAAAATCAATAAAAACATATTTTTGAAAAAAGAAAAAAACAAAACAGCCCTGGGGGTGTTTCTAAGTGGTTAGAGCATCAGCCCACATGTCATCGGTTCCATTCCCAGTCAAGCTGGGTGCAGGCTCAATCTGTTTAGGAGGCAACCAATCCATGTGGCAATACATGAATGTCTCTCTCTCCCCACCTCCCTCCCTCCCTCTCTAAGAATCAATGGAAAAATATCCTCAGGTGAAGATTAACAAAAACAAAACAAACAAACCACAAAACACAACAAAAAATTAACAGGGGAAATCATGCCTCTGAGACCAACAAGTCCTACAACAGTCAGCCTCCTGTTAATACTAAGATAGCCAAGATGAGGATCCTCTGATACTTCTAATCTTTTGCACTCACAATTAGAAAAAGCGGGCTATAAAATTAGGCAGAAAGAATAGAAAGCATACTTAATCGGTCTCTCAAAGCTTCAAAAAGAGGATTTACATAAATGGATCAACCTATGATGTCATTTAGGTGTCCACCCATTCCTTTGAGGTATTAAAATGCCTGTCCTATTTTAAAAGGGGAGCCAGCCAGTGTAGCTCAGTGGTTGAGCATCGACCCATGAACCAAGAGGTCCCTGGTTCAATTTCCTGTCAAGGCACATGCCAGTTGCAGGCTCAATTCCCATGGGGGCCATGCAGGAGGCAGCTAATAGATGTTGATATTTCTTTCTCATCAATGTTTCTATCTCTCTCTCCCTCTCCCTTTCTCTCTAAGTCAATAAAAACATATTTTTTAAAAGGGGGGAAAGGTCATTTGGAACTTGACTTGTCAAGGACAGATAGAAATTATAAGTTTCTCCAAAACAAAACTTGGATCCAACTGTTCTCTGTCTGTGTCCATCTATGTATGTCTATATATATAGTAAATGTGAAATAATTTTCTACCTCTGGATGGTATTGTTAAAATTGACTTAAAAGCAAGTGCTTGTAGGGATTGGGTATTCTAAAATTCTCAGACATATAGAAAATAACTCAAATGCTTTTCATGTTCACATATCTAAAATTAATCCTTAGTAAATAAAAGGTAGTTTAAGTTTGTTGGTTTAAGTAAAACAGACATGTCTTTATTTTACCTGGGCTTTACAAAACTATGAAATATGTTTCTAGAGGTTATAAAATGTCCTCATAAATCTGCTAAGCTAAAGAATGCAAATTGTTTACTTCTTAATTTTCATTCAAAATTGAGGTTTTAAGGGTTAAAGTCTCAATATACATAGGAATAACTTTGCAGTGTACCAGAAGGGCCCCTGGAACACCTCAAAGGATTTGTTTTTTATGTTAAATTGCATGAGAAACATTGTAAAATAATTGATGAAAAGCTTCTAGGGTATAATATATGGGTAAACAATGATCATAAATTATATACTAGTAGTCGAGGCTACAGGAAACCCACAATGGCTGGTTGATTCTTTTCCTAGCTCCCTGGCAAACCCCATTTTTTGTTTTTTATAATCCTTTATGCATCATTGTGCATTTAAGCTGAACTCAGATGAAGGAACCTATGAGCTGACATTATTGAGAGACATCTTACGCTATTGCCAAGGTTTGATAGAGTCACTTAAAGAAAATACCAAGTTGATAACGGCTTCCTTTCACAGTGAGCTTCCAGGAGACAAAGATTTAGATATTGTTTTTTAGAAAGAACATCAAATAAAGACGCTCCCCAATCTCGCTGGAAGAGAATTTATCAGGAACATAACCACAAATGGACAGCTACCAACCTCCGACACTCGCCTCCACCTACAATGGACATCAAAGACTCCTCAAGGATGAGAAGCTGCTAACATCAGAGATAGACAGCTATTCCAAAACATCAACAAGACCTGTACACCTACTGATTGATGTTGAATTCAGGATCCATTTTGCTTGATTGTCTCTACTTGTATGCCAATGATATTAGTCATAATAATAGTTACTGGTATATTTGCCCTAGCCGGTTTGGCTCAGTGGATAGAGTGTCGGCCTGTGGACCAAAGGGTCCCGGGTTTGATTCCAGTCAAGGGCACGTACCTCAGTTTCAGGTTCCTCCTCAGCCTGGTGCCCTGGTCAGGGCTTGTGCAGGAGGCAACCAATCAATGAGCTTCTCTCACCTCAATACTTCTATCTTTCCCTCTCTCTTCTACTCTCTCTAAAATTCAATGGAAAAATATCCTTGGGTGAGAACTTTAAAAAGTAATAATAATAATAATAGTTATACTTGTTCTTTATGTTTTTGTATATAGTTCAACTGTTATGATGACTAAACATGTATAAGCACACTGTTAAGCCCAGCCAGTATGGCTCAGTGGTTGAGCATCAACCTATGAACCAGGAGGTCACAGTTCAATTCCCAGTCAGGGCATATGCCTGGGTTGCAGGCTCAATCTCCAGTAAAGGGCGTGTAGGAGGTAGCCAATTGATGATTCTCTCTTATCATTAATGCTTCTATCTCTCTCTCCCTCTCCCTTCCTCTCTCTGAAATCAACTAAAAATATATAGAGATATTAAAGTACTTTTTAAAAAATCGAATGCATATACTCTTTTCATGGCTTATGTAAATGTTATACTAGATGCCAAATACAGAAAAATAGACAGAACTTGGCAATTAGGCAAAACTCAAACATGAGAGTTCACAGAATAGAAATGATCCAGTGTTTCATTCACAATGAAGCCCATATACCTAACTACCTTCCATTTAACTGTTCTTTCCTTTTTTGCGAAAAATTCAGCCTCAACTCAGATCCCATGATTATGGTATTGCCTCATCCCCAATAGTCAATAAGAGAACATCGACACTGAGCCTTCTTAGGAATGAGCCTTCTTGCGCTGTGAGACTACACTGTCCAACCAAAAGGTTGGTCATCAATGCATCCTTTGGATTGATTTATAACCAAAAGGGGGAACTGTGGACAAAAAAAGGGGGTTCAATGGAAAGTAACCTCAGGATCCTCTGATCATAAAATCCTAACCAGGAAGGTCATAATGGGTAGTTATGCCCCAGGAATACAACTTCTTTACTAAAAGGCTTATTTTTGTCTTAAAGTCCTGTCCCTTGTTTCTGTGAATCTAGGTGAACATACTTTAAAATGCCTCTTTCTAGACTCCTCTTTCTAAGATGTAACCACCCTCAAGAGAGCAAATAATCTTCTGTCCAATACCCAATCCTCATCTTGCTTTCTCCCACCTCCATGTAATCTTCCCTTACATACCTTTCTTAATTTCGAATGCATAAAAGAAACTGCAAAACTGTTCTTTTTCAGAGCATCTGAGAACTTACTCCCTGACACATGTCATCAGTTTGGCTCAAATAAACTCAGCCATGAAAATAAATTTGCTAATGCTTACCAAACTGAGGGCTCCCTCATACATACTTACACCCCTTATAATATGTAGAAAACAGAATGAGATAAAAGAGGCAATGAGGGCAAAGACTGACTAATCAAAAGGCTCTTAGCTCCTCCCTTAAAAAAAGAGGTACAAGAGAACATAAGCATATGAACTTTTTCTAAATTAGGATTTTTTTCCTTCTGATCCAATAAATGCATGCTTATTGTAGAAAATTTGAAAAATTAAATAAAAGTGTAGGGGAAAGGAGGAAAAATCCACAGTCACTCAAAAGCTTGCAATGCTATATTTTTCTAATGTATGTTTTCATTACATACTTATGTATATTTCACCTATTATAAAAAATATGGCCCTGGCCAGTGCTGCTAAGTGTTTAGAGCGTTGGCCAGCATACCAAAGGGTTGCAGGTTCAATTCCCGGGGAAGGGCACATCCCTGGGTTGCAGGTTTAATCCCTGGCCGTGGTTGGGTTATGTGCAGGAGGCAACCAAAGGTATCTCTCACATCAGTGTTCCTCTCTTTCTATCTCTCTCTCTCCCCCTCTCCCCCTGTCCCTTCCACTCTCTCTAAAATCAATGGAAAAAATATCCTCTGGTGAGGATTATCAAAATCAGACTTGGAAATACTTTTAAAAACTTAATCCTGCCTGTCTATAACTTAACTTTCCATCCTCTTGTAGTGCCCGTACCAACATGTCATTTCCTTCCCCATTCCATAAATGGGAGAACAATAGTGGTCACAAACAAAGGGAGAACTTTCCTAGCAACTGGGTCCCAATCTCTTTTGTAAGAAGATATTTTTTTAAATTTGTCTAAAGCCTTGAAGTTAGAAATCAAGTTTATAAATCTGGAAGACCAGAAAAGTTAACAAGGTTTGAATACTCCAAGCAGCAAAGAAATCTTAGCTGGAAGCAGCCCCACAGCTCCCTCCCTGTAGACAGCGGTATTTTAAGTGAAGAGTTAGCAGAGCAACACTTTCAACCATGCTGTACTTCTGGGAAAAATCTCAGGGGCCATGGAAGAAGCACATGGCAGCTATTTTCAGCCCCGGATCCCTTACTGATTAAAAACTGTAAGTCACAAAGTCATGGCAACGAATTCTATCATATAGCCCATGAGCCACAATTGCCTGTCTTCCAAACTAACTGGCTGATTTCCTCCAAGTGAGGCCATTTAAACTATTTAAAACACCAATGTAAAATAAAACATCATTGTATGTATGATTATAATTTGCTATGTTTCCTTGAAAACCCTGTTTTGGTATTCTAAAGAAAACAGCAATCTAGCACCTCTCCACTTGCTAAGGCTATAACAAGAAACTTTTATCCTATAGAATTTATAACCTAATTATTATTTTTGGTGCTTTAGCAAACTTAGAGTTCTCTTACACAGTATCATCTTTATTTAGCACTACAATGAAATTCTAGCTTCTCTCAAAATTAAGTCATTAATCAAAGAAATCCTCCTGCCAAAATGCCTTTATATGTATGTGCCTATACATAAATGCTGTATTCCCCAATGTTATTATAGGTAACAAGGTTTCACCTAACGCTTCATCAAACCTTGTTTTTGCTGATAGATTCTGATGCTCCAAGTAACGACTGAATGCAGGCAGACAAGGCTTCCTGTGATAATCCTTGGAACACTGCCCTCTGGTGAAATAAAAGAGAAACATCACCCTGTAGCACTTGACAAACAAAAAAAGATCGTTGAGTACAGGGAGGGATTGGAATCATTTATATTACTGGCAACATTCCTCCTGCAATTTCCTATTCTAGATCAACCTTTCTAGACCAACACAAAGTTTCGTAATTTGCATTTCTCGAAACACTCATGCAGCCCTTTACTGATATTTCCAGAGCACCTATTTCATGCCAAACTTTGTGCAGGTGCTAGAAGCACAACCAGTGGTGGGGAGACAAGGCTGACGTAGTTCTGACCTTATAGAGCTCTCACTCCAATATGATCTCATGTTGCAGGTTGTTTTTTAAAAATTATAAAGCCAAGCCAGCCAGAGTGGTTCAGTGGTTGAGCATCAACCTGTGAACCAGGAGGTCAAGGTTCGATTTCCGGACAGGGCACATGCCTGGGCTGCAAGCTTGATCCCCAGTGAGGGGCATGCAGGAGGCAGCCAATCAATGATTCTCTCTCATCATTGATGTTTCTAATCTCTCTCTCTCCCTCTCCCTTCCTCTCTGAAATCAATAAAATAAAAATTTAAAAAAATACATATATATAAAGCCAATTTTAAAACAAACCCTCAATAAATTTACTTCTAAAAATTTATCCCAAGTAATTAATGGGTAGTGTATTGTAAGAGTCATGTATGTAGCTCTTCATCACAGTATTATTTAAAAGAACAAAAAACTGAAATAACTTAAATGTTCAATAATGAAGGGGCTGACAAATAAAATACTAGTAAATCTAAATTATAGAACACTGTGCATGAAATCAAAAAAATGCTAAAGGAGGTCATGTAATCTTATAAAATATAATTAAGTTTTAAAAATCAGGTTACAAAATAGAATGTTAAACATGATTCCTTTTTTTTAATCTTTATTGTTGAAAGTATTACATGTCCCCTTCTTTCCCTCACTGACCCCCTCCAGCCTGCCCTCCCCCCACCCCAGGCCCTCACTGCCCTGTTGTCTGTGTCCTTGGGCCATGCATATATGCACCCACCCACCACCATTAACTTATGATTCTTAAATTAATTCTGTCATTTCTCTATCTTCCCAGAGGTGTGGCATGCTGGTCTGGGCAGGGACTCCTGTCAGTACCTTCGCTTCCCTCCCTGTATCCATTCCACCCAAGATGGGCTTGAGATAGGTGAGTATGAGAAAAATATTTATTAGGCCACAGTCCTGGGCCCTGGTCTCATTCTTTATGCTATGGTCTTTTTGGTCCCTCTCTTCTGTATCCATGTTGCTGTAGTAAGAAGAGATTAGGGCTCCCTTTGCTAGGTAACTGACCCTACTTTAAGGAAGACTGAAGAACCTCTCTTTCCCCTGCTCAGCCTTCATGAGGTTTTCCCTGGATTTTTTTTCCTCGCCTTTGATGGGTAAGATAGAGAGGGATAAGATTGAATGTAGCCAGGTGAAAAAATAATAGGCAGGCCTAGGGCATAAAGTAAATGCAGGCACGGTGGCGTCCCCGGGCCTACCTGCTGTTTGACTAAAATCCCTGTTAAGGACTTAAGAGGCTTCACTAGGGCCTGTGATGACAATGGGTTCTATGTGGAATATACCCCCTGCACATTTCCCTTGGGAGCCTGGCTCCACTGTAGAAAGTTTCAGAATCCCAGCATAATACCATCATTCAATACACCTACTGGGGAACCTGGGGAAAAGTAATGCCAGTGTCCAAGCCTCCCTCTGGAAGAGACCTCATCAGCTGTGCAAAAAGGCTGAAACATCTAACTCTGTACTCTGTATAGGAGGCCTGGCCTCACCTCTGAAAGTCCCAAAACTGGGCAAAAGGCACTTCATGGTTGAATTTCAAAATCTCCAAGCAAAAAATCAAGTAACTGTGCAGTTTACAATAGATATTGAGTAGCGTGCACTATACTGAGCCAATGAAACAGCTGTGCAACTTTGTCAGGCCTACACTGAGATGGAGCATCTTCATAGTGAGAGGAAGGCACATATGCCTTTGACCCATACGCTTAAGAAACAGAGACATCTGGACAACAATTACATGACTTGTATTTAGTAACTTCTCTATATATATGCTATTTGGGTTATAACAATCAAATTAATTTTTTTTAATGAATTAAAACCACTGAATTTTGACCTAGTTGGTATGGCTCAGTTGGTCCTATCCACCAAAAGGTGGTGGGTTCAATTCCCGGTCAGGGCACATACCCAGATTGCGGGTTCAATCCCTAATCTGGATACGTGTAGGAGGCAACCAATGTTTCTCTCTCACATATCTCTCTCTCTCTCTCTCTCTCTCTCTCTCTCTCTCTCTCTCTCTCCCCTCCCCCCCTCCCTGGCCTTCTCCCACTCTCTAAAATCAATAAAAATTAAAAACACTGAATTTTACAAACTATTTCGGTTCAGCAACAAACACTAGCCATAAATAACTGTAGACAAATCTGATCTTTCAGGGACTGATAATCAGAAACTGAAATGCTTAAAATAACTGTTACCTGAAATGAATGCGCAGTATAAGTTGGTGCTGAAAAAAAAAAAGTAGGGGGGAGAGGGTACTGCTAATTTCAGCAAATAACTAAAATCAGTCCATGATTAGAAAAATATGTAGTCTTAATACTACTTGTTAAGGAAAGTGATTTAAACTGAGTGCAAAACTAAATTAAAGTAGTTGCATTTAATACTTAGTCTAAATACTAAATGTATATTATACCTATGTAACATTGGACATATCACTTGACTTTCTACATCTCTTTTTCTTCATCTACAAACTAAGACAAATGAATTAAGTTGTAGTTCTGAATTTGTGATTATAGACTCCTATGAGAATCAATACAAGCTATAGCCCTTCTCCTCAGAAAGACACAAATACAAGCACACATACACAATTTTACCCACAACATCAAGGTGTTCACAGACTGCCCAGAGCCCAATAGTGGAGTCTTAGGGACTACAGAATGCTCAGGTTAAGAATTCTTAAATTAGATTGATCTTAAATTTTACCTAAAAAAAACCCCATATGATTCTAATACCAAACAAAATACTGTATCAAGATCTTAAAATAAACTTTAAAAATATTTCTAATGAGCCCAGCTGGCATAGCTCAGTGGTTGAGTGATGACCTATAAAACCACAAGGTTCAATTCCCGGTCAGGGCACATGCCTGCATCCTCAGTGTGGGGTGTGTGGGAGGCAGCTGATCCATGATTCTCTCTCATCATTGATGTTTCTGTCTCTCTCTCCCTCTCCCTTCCTGTCTGAAATCAATAAAAATAGATTTTTAAAAAATATTTCTAGCCCTAGCCAGTTTGGCTCAGTGGATAGAGTATTAGCCTGCGGAGCAAAGTGTCCCAGATTTTATTCCAGTCAAGGGCATGTACCTTGGTTGCAGGCTCCTCCCTGGCCTGGGCTCTGGTCAGGGCTTGTGCAGGAGGCAACCAATCGATGTGTTTCTCTCACATCGATGTTTTTTTCTGTCTTTCCCTCTCTCTTCCACTCTCCCTAAAAATCAATGAAAAAATATCCTCGGGTGAGGATTAACCAAAAAATAATAATATATACATATATATGTGAAAGCAATTTATAGTACAGATAAGGATAAAGCAATTTACACGTACATCTATGCATCTGTACAATTTAGAGAGACAGACAAGAGTTCGTCGAACTGTAGGATACCACATTCCATGAAGATCTGCTGGAGAAATTGTGGTCTGTGGTCTAGGAGTGAGAGATTCTGTTGAACCTAAAAACCCAAATGGAAAAGAAATCACATTACACTCACATGTAGATTTGTCTTATTTACACAGCAACTATTAACTGTTCTCATTAGCTACCATTAGCTGGAGGCATCCACTTTCTCTAACCTCATCTTCAATTAAGAATGCCATAAGAAACCTAAAACAGTGACAGATAAGATTTACACAGTATGTACATACTAGAGGACTGGTACATGGATTTGTGCACCAGTGAGGTCCCTCAGCCTGGCCAAAACCAGCCGGGTGCACAGATTCGTCCAGGGTGTGTCCGGCCCATCTCGCCCAGTCCTGATTGGGGCCAATCAGGGCCGGGGAGGGACCACAGGAGGGCTCCAGGCTTGTCTAGCCTGTCTCACCCAGTCCTGACTGGCTGGACCCCAGCAGCAAGCTAACCTACCAGTCAGAGCATCTGCCCCCTGGTGGTCAGTGTGCATCATAGCAACTGGTCGAACAGTTGAACAAATGGTCGGACACTTAGCATATTAGGCTTTTATTATATAGGATGTATGTATTCATGTGTGCTCTCACATACTCAACCTAACTGCTTTTCCCAAACTGTGATTAATAATCTTTATGGAGTAGGTGAACAGTATACACATTACAGAATACCGTGCAGTCATTAAAAAGGAGGCAGATCTTTATATAGTCACATGGGAGCAAGTGGGAATTCATGGAGGTCAGGGAGTGACAAACAAACAAAGCAATGTTAAACAGGAATATTAGTCAAAGCTAGTTTGTCTGACAGCTTGCCTTCCATGCTTTAAGCGGTATCATTTATAGACCTTCCCAACTCCAAAGATCTTCACTTCCATCCCTCATGACCTACCGCGCAGATTTTCTTGACTTTGTTTCAAAATTACTTTCTACAGACTTTATTATATTCCAAACTACCTCACCTCTTAATTGTTAAATCTTAGAATCCTACTCTCTGACCACAACATCTTCGTGATTTTCTATTTTTCACCTGTTTACTCAAAATACACTGTCGACTCCTCCTCCTTTGGCTTCAATCACACCCTAGACCAGTGATGGCGAACCTTTGACACGCATGTCAGAGGTGACACGCGAACTCATTTTTTTGGTTGATTTTTCTTTGTTAAATGGCATTTAAATATTTAAAATAAATATCAAAAATATAAGTCTTTGTTTTACTATGGTTGCAAATATCAAAAAATTTCTATATGTGACACAGCACCAGAGTTAAGTTAGGGTTTTTCAAAATGCTGACACGCGGAGCTCAAAAGGTTCACCATCACTGCCCTAGACCTTTGCCTGCTTCTGACCTCTCTGGCTACTCTTTCTCAGTGAGCCCATTATATTCCTCTACCTCCATTTGCTCCTTAATGTCAGCATCTGCTGAGACACCCTCCCCAGACCTGCTATTATTACTCTACTCTCTGTCCTGGGGTGATCAACTACCTCAATCTTTATCTCTAAACCAGTCACCCTCTTTATAGCTCTAGAGTAGCCTTTCCAACAGAAATATAATGTGAGCCATAAATGTGGCATTAAAATGCTAGGGGGAAAAAAGTAAAAAGAAACAAGAGCAATTAATTTTAATACATTTTACTTAATCCAACACATCTAAAATATAATCACTGTAACATGTAATCATTGTAGAAATTACTAATAAGATATTTTCCATTCTTCATTTTATATTAAGTCTTTGAAATCTGGTGTGTATTTTATGTACTTGTCTACATTCAGACTAGCCATATTTCACATATTCCATGCCAGGTGGCTACCATACTGGACAACACAGTCCTAGATCCATATAGCACAGATGCTCTGTGTTGTTCCATATGGACCTTACTCAATCTTCCTCAGCCCCACACCTGGAGTGTCGTCAAATTCTACTGATTCAAACCTCAACCATATCTTTTATCTATACACTTACTTCTCTTCATCCCCATCACACTCTGGTTCAAACCACCTTTCTTTCAAAAGAAACAACCTCCTAACCAGTCTCTACAGTTCTACCAACAATACCTTATTATAAGCCAGGTATCAGTTAAAGAATAGGCTTTTGGCGGGAAGGGAAAATGTACAAGGCCAGCGTTGGTAAGACAAAAATGTATTCTAGTCTCTCCAATAACTCTTGAGGAGATTTACTAGGATTAAGGTGTATACTAGGACTAAGATACACACTAGCACCAAGATATATACTGGCACCAAGAGGTACACTAGGACGTGGCATAGATTCTATTTCAGAGGACAAAATTCGAACCTCCCGTGGGTCTCTCTTCCTAGCAAGCATAATAAAATAGTTTGGGGACCACCTCGCCGGTGGTCCGTGAGGTCCGAAAGGTTGGCGACCGTGGTTTGGGGAATACCCAAGCTGCTCAGCAATCTGGATTTGGGGTGCCAACTGTTTATAGAGTTGACTCAGAATACTGAACACATTGCGGACCAGTACTTTTATTGATAGCTTTACCCAGTGGCCAGATAAGTTTCTATTGAACGAGTACAAAAAAACATTTTACATAAATGTTAAAGGCACGCTTTAAAATTAAATGCCCATTGCATTTTGAAGTTATTTATTACATGTTCTTACAAGCTAATATCTTTTTAAAGTATGATACTTTGTAAAACACTGTGTAATATGAAGCAAGAATTCTCATGATCCGTCCAAAATGTGTTCATAATGCCCTAAACCTGGGGATTTGGGAGCAGCTGGGGGTCTTTAAAGCCCATGAAGTTTCAGTGTCCCCCACTCACAGCCAGTACTATGGAGAGCTGAGCTTTAGTGTTACCTTTACATCTAGGGGTGGGGAGAAAGGATGCCTTACTTCCCGTCTAGCTTGTTGTCTAGGTAACTCATGAGTACCCAGGATTATTACTGGACAAGTTTGCTCCTTGCATAACCCAAGTCCGAGTTATCCCCTACATTTCCGTTACTTTTTTCTACCCCAGTCCCAGGCACTGACTTTCCAGAGCAGCCACAGTCTTCCAATCCCACATGCCACCCTCCATCCCATTCTATCTTAACCTTACTTCACCTGGCTTTCTCACACTCATCTTTATAAACACTACAGCTTTCAGACACCACACCTCTCACTGAACCAACCTTCCTGCACTCAAATTTCATCTCCCCTCATAATTTTTTCCCCTTCATAATTTTGATGGTCCTCTTCCATGGTCCAAGAGTGCCCTGTGCATACCTTTAGCCTGTCACCACTGAATTACTAGTATGTCTGTGGGTTGTCCATCTCTCCCCACTAAAGAGTGGGCTCCACAAAAGCACAAGCTGTTTTTCATGCCTGGGATGTGACAAGTCCTCAATCAAAGTTTTTCAAATGAATACATAAAAGCTGGAAGTTAAAATGTTATAACATACCAGATTTTTTCAGATTATTAGACTCTGTTTCTTCTAACCGAACATCTGAGAATGAAGCTTCTGAAGGTACCTTCTTCTGTTCATCTTTTAAACTCTGTGCAATTTCCTACATAGAGAAATCGGAAGAAACATTAAAGTGTAGTTTTCAGCTGCTTGGCAATATGAACATAACTATTTCTAAAAAGTAAGAAATACTAACAAATAAATGGACTAGTTAAGAGAACTATACCAAAACAAAACATGGAAAAAATTAAATTAGTATATAGAGTGTCTCTGTTCTCAAAAGCACATACATAGCCTTTTCTGAACCACTAATTTCAGAACTCTGCAAGATACCCAGTAAGAGCTCGAATAGACAAGATTCATATAAGAACCATAATTTTCAACTTTAAGTTCAGAAACAAAGTATTCAAATTTAAAATATCATAAAGAAAACAAGGGAGGGAGGAATGGGAGAGAGCACAGATCAGGCTGAGAAACATGCATAGTCAGTCCTCACCATATCCACTTTATGGCCTTAAGAATCAAGGTAACTCCTGCAAATGGACTATCCATCTGCTCCCTGGAGTTACTATCAGCAATCCCCAGACACCAAAAGGTAATTTCTACTACAAGCCTGCAGAATAATAAAAGCTGGAAAAAAACAAACAATCCCAATACCATATGCCCTAACCTACCATATACCTGATCCCTATAGGGCTGATTTTACATACTATTTTTTAAAGTAGTGTATAAATAATTAATATAACTACCCAAAATATTATAAATTTAAATAGAAGTCAGGAGAAAGAAAGTTTAGGAAACCATTATTAAACAATAAGTAACGGCATTAAACTAAATAGGCTGGCATGTTTCAAGCCTATTAGCTTTAAGACAAACATAACTATCACCACACACTTGTCAGGCTAAGCACTAAAACAATTTAAGTTAAAATGCTGGTGAAAATTTGGAGCAACAAGAATGGGCTGGTATATACATACATATATTTCTTTGCTATGTCAGCTGAGAAGTCCCAGAACCACCAACACCCTATAGCACAGTGATGGTGAACCTTTTGAGCTCGGCGTGTCAGCATTTTGAAAAACCCAAACTTAACTCTGGTGCCGTGTCACATATAGAAATTTTTTGATATTTGCAACCATAGTAAAACAAAGACTTATATTTTTGATATTTATTTTAAATATTTAAATGCCATTTAACAAAGAAAAATCAACCAAAAAAATGAGTTCGCATGTCACTTCTGACACGCGTGTCATAGGTTCGCCATCACTGCTATAGCAACTACTACACTAAGCACCCAGATCATAGTTTCCAATGCCATTCTCCAATAAAGGAAGTCGGGACTTTTTGAAGAAATGGCTGATTCTAGGGCTGAAGCAGGAAACAGTAAAGATGATCCTGGATCACCTTGTAAAGGGTGTCCCAAAACTCAACGCAATAAGTAATTTTGATAGAAACCACAGGTTTATAATTAAAAATTGTAAATGTTTTATTGATTCATAAAGTATACAGTATAGGGTTATGTATGAAATAGCAAACTGGATTATCATGTCGCGACAGCGAGCACCATTAACTGTTATTGCCTGAGCAGTCGCGTCGAAGCAGTTCGTGAGAGTGTTGCTGAGAGTCCAGGGACATCATTTCGGCACTGTGGTCAAGAATTGGACATTTCGCCCTGACCGGTTTGGCTCAGTGGATAGCGCATCAGCCTGCATACTGAAGGTTCCCGGGTTCGATTCCAGTCAAGGGCATGTACCTTGGTTGCAGGCACATCCCCAGTAGGGGGTGTGCAGGAGGCAGCTGATCGAGGTTTCTCTCTCATCGATGTTTCTAACTCTCTATCCCTCTCCCTTCCTCTCTGTAAAAAAATCAATAAAATATATTTTTTTTAAAAAAAGAATTGGACATTTCAAGAAGCTCTCTACAGCGTATTCTAACGAAAGATTTGCATCTTCATGCTTACAAAGTTCAATTGACTCAAGAACTGAAGCCTACTGACCACGCACAGCGAATAGAGTTCGTTGAATGGATTATGGAACAACAACAAGTGGATGCTGATTTTTCAAACAAAATCATCTTCAGCAATGAGGCTCATTTTCATCTTGATGGCTTGGTTAATCGACAAAATTATCGCATTTGGGGTTCAGAAAATCCACGAGTGATTGTTGAGAAACAAATGCATCCACAACATGTCACTGTTTGGTGCAGATTTTGGGCTGGAGGCATCATCGGACCATTCTGCTTCGAAAATGTGGCTGCTCAGGCAATAACAGTTAATGGTGCTCGCTATTGCAACATGATATTCCAGTTTGCTATTCTATACATAACCCTATACTGTATACTTTATAAATCAATAAAAAATTTACAATTTTTAATTATAAACCTGTGTTTTCTATCAAAATTACTTCTTGTGTGAATTTTGGGACATCCTTTAGTACGAGGAAATAAGAAAGTGCTCAAAAAAAAAAAAAAAAAAGAAAGAAAAAAGAAACACTATATTGAAGGGATATGTCAAAGCAACATAGGAACCAACTAAAAGGGCTCCTGCTATAGCGATCAGACAAGACAACGAAATAAAAGGCATCCAAATTGAAAAAGAAGTAAAACTGCCCTTATTCGCAGATGACATGATACTATACATACAAAACCCCAAAGACTCCATCAAAAAACTACTAGACCTAATGAATTCGGCAATGTAGCAGGATACAAAATTAACACCCAGAAAACTATGGCCTTTTTGTACACCAATAATGAACTCACAGAAAGCGAAACGAAAAAAACAATCCCATTTACCACTGCACCAAAAAAATTAAGATACCATGGAATAAACTTAACTGAGGAGGTAAAAGACCTATACTCAAAAAACTACAGAACATTAATAAAAAGATATAGAGGAAGACATAAACAAATGGAAGAACATACCATGTTCATGGATTGGTAGAATCAACATCATTAAAATGTCCATACTACCCAAAGCAATCTACAGATTCAATGCAATCTCCATTAAAATGCCAATGGCATATTTCAAAGATCTAGAACAAACTCTCCAAAAATTCATTGGGAATAAAAAAAGGCCCCGAATAGCCACGCAATCCTGAGACAGAAGAACAAAGTTGGAGGGATCACAATACCAGATATCAAGTAATATTACCAAGCCACGGTTCTCAAAACTGCCTGATACTGGCACAAGAACAGACATATAGACCAATGGAACAGAGCAGAGAACCCAGAAATTGACCCAAGCCATTATTCTCAATTAATATTTGACAAAGGAGGCAAGAGCATACAATGGAATCTAGATAGTCTTTTCAATAAATGGTGCTGGGAAATTTGGTCAGATACATGCAAAAAATGAAACTAGATCACCAACTTACACCATACACAAAAACAAACTCAAAATGGCTAAAGGACTTAAACGTAAGACAGGAAACCATAAAAATCCTACAAGAGTCCATAGGCAGCAAAATAGAAGACATATATTAATGCAATATCTTTAAAGACACAGTTCCTAGGCCCCGGCCATGGTCAGCAAACTACGGCTCGCGAGCCACATGCGGCTCTTTGGCCCCTTGAGTGTGGCTCTTCCTAAGCCTCAGGAGTACCCTAATTAAGTTAATAACAATGTACCTACACCTATATAGTTTAAGTTTAAAAAATTTGGCTCTCAAAAGAAATTTCAATCGTCATACTGTTGCCGACCACTGTTAGGGTAATGGAGACTAAGGTGAAAATAAACAAATGGGACTACATAAAAATAAAAAGCTTCTGCACAGCAAAAGAAACCATCAACAAAACAACAAGAAAGCCCATTGCATGGGAGAACATATTTGCCAATGATATTTCCCCATAAGGGTTTACTCTCCAAAATTTACAGAGAACTCATACAACTTAACAAAAGGAAGATAAATGATCCAATCAAAAATGGGCAAAGGATCTAAATAGACACTTTTCAAAAGAGGACAAACAGAAGGTCAGGAGACATATGAAAGCATGCTCAAAGTCACTAATCATCTGAGAGATGCAAATCAAAACAACAATGAGATACCATCTCACACCTGTCAGAATGGCTATCATCAACAAATCAACAAGCAATAAGTGCTGGTGAGGATGTGGAGAAAAAGGAACCCTCCTGCACTGCTGGTGGGAATGCAGACTGATGCAGCCACTGTGGAAGACAGTATGGAGTTTCCTCAAAAAGTTAAAAATGGAACTCCCATTTGACCCAGTGATCCCACTTCTAGGACTATATCCCAAGAAAACAAACACCAATCAGAAAGGATATATGCACCCCTTGTTCATAACAGCACAATTTACTATAGCTAAGATTTGGAAACAGCCTAAGTGCCCATCAGCAGATGAGTGGATTAAAAAACTGTGGTACATCTACACAATGGAATACTATGCCGCTATAAAAAAAAAGGAACTTCTACCATTTGCAACATCATAGATGGAACTGGAGAGCATTATGCTAAGCGAAATAAACAAGTTGGAGAAAGATAAATATCACATGATCTCACTCATATGTGGGATATAATGATCAACATAATTTGATGAACAAGAATAGATCCAGAGACAAAGAGCGGGGGCGGGGGGGGGGGGGGGGGGGGAGGGGTTAGAAAGCAACCGAAGGACTTGTATGCATGCATATTAGCATAACCAATGGACACAGACAATGGGGCGGTCAATTGGGGAAAAAGGAGACTTATGTAAAACTTTAGTCAATAAAAAAAAGAGGGAGGGGGGCTCCCAATGACCAAAAATGGAACTATTTAAGCAACAAAATAAAGTAGCAGTGGACTATAATATAAAAATAAAATGCATACCCATGAGTCCATACTGATATCACGTGATTGAATAAATACATACATATCCCTTGCAGAAAAATTCCAAATAATTTTTATATAGATACTTTGCCCTCCAGAGCATAACGCCCCACTCCTTAAGTAGGCCTGCACAGAAAGCTCCCTTCCAAAGAGCAGCGGTTGCCAAACTTTCAGACCGACTACCGGTTGGCGACCGTTGCCAAAGAGAACAGTATGACAAAGGAGGAAAAAGAGTAACTTTCCAGTGGAACCTGACAACACTATCTCAGCCAGGTGGTCATGG